AATAATATTAGTCACGATTTGTTCTATTTCTATTTAGTTATTGCAATTATATAATATATAGAATTGAGTATGCGCTGGTAAGAATCTACTAATCCTCTTAATCATTTAAATTATTTCTGCTGATGTTAATTTTAAAGTTTTTTTTTTAAAACATTAATGTGAATAAAAATGAGATTAACGGAATACAATATCCTAGAAAACTTATTATCCCTCGTCTCTCTAAAAAAAACCTAATGGGATATATAATAGAAAAGGAAGGATATGGGGTATTCTGAGGGTCTGGATTGGGTTTACAGAAAAGAGAATAATGGACCAATACTACAGAAAAATGGACTCAAAAATATGGAATATGTATAAAGAATAGAGAATAATGGACAAAAAGATATAAAAAATAGAGAAAAATGGCTCAAACAATTTCAGACTTGAGGGATCCCAATCCAGATACTCAAAGTATAAAGACTATTTTCTTAAAAGTATAGAAACGGGAGAAATTATAAGATAAGATAACATAACATATTTTATTTTCCAAATTAGGTCCCCAGGGGGCATACACATATGACAAATATAATCTTTACAACTTACAGTATTTTACATAACATTCATATAATACACCTAAAATATTGATATAGAGTGATACAGGCATTATATATATATTGAATTAAAAAAAAATATTTAAGAGTTGCTACTCCAGTGATGTGACAAATGTCCTCTCACTTGATTTTATTTGCAGTTATTTTCATTTTATTTTTCTTTATATTTTTGATGGAAATGTATAAATATATTTGATTGTTTAGCTGCAACAGGTACCAAGGGACGATGTCTAGGATTGTGAGCTTAAGAGATCTAACAAACCTTCTCGTATCTGATGCAGAGAAACAAACATGAATGAAACAAAAGTTTAAGTATATTCACAGTAAATAACATATACTGCAATAATAGGTTTTGAGAATAGTGTAGGTTTCCCTACTGCAACAGTTACCAAGGGGTGGAGCTCAAGGAGCTGTGTTATATACACAGTCTTCCTCGTGTCTGAAGCAGAAAAGAAAACCACACCAATAACATTTTTTTAAACAAATCAAGTTTCCAGCAGCAGTGAGAATTGACTTATCTTCTGTGTTCATAAGCCATATCAGTTTATCCCTTGAGATAAGACTTAGAAAATTGGTCAACTTTTAGTTATTTCTTGAAATAGATGAATGTGGTCATCATCAGATTTAACACATTAAAATAGAAAATGATTTTCATCCTCCACATCGCCAGAGTTACAACGAGTACAAGTTCTGTCATTTAGGAGAGTACCCTGATACCTTTCGGACTCAATTCTTAAGTGGTGTGATGAAATTCTGAGCTTTGTTAAGCTTCGTCTCTGTTCAAAATTCCCCATAATGGAAAGATATTTTTCTCTTCCAAAATTTGATTTATATGTAACAAATGTTGTAAGTTTACCATCTGAATACTTTATCCGTTCAGTGTACCATAAATCTATAAAATAGTGATTTAAAATTCTTTTTCATATCAGCTTTAAAGCTATTAATTTTTGGTGATGATAAAGATTTGAAGTCTGGGATAATTTCAAGAACTGACTTCATAGAGCCATACCAAGATACAAATACCTTGTAAAATAATACGATTCTTCATTTTTGCGAAATTTTTATTCTGACAAAAAAATAATGCATCCCTCTTCCATCTCAAAAGATTCAGAAAAAAAATCGTTTACAACAGGGATATAGATATCATGGTCGAAGAGCTTACTGAATAATCAATTTTATCATCAATATATAGGATTTATTGAGAAAGTTAGGTTCTACTTGCTGAAATTTAATTTAAAAGAATGGTATTTCTAATTCATTTAGGGCAATATTATTCATAGGCAAAACAAGTTTAGGAATTGCCCTTTAAGGTGGTACCCAACACCTTGACTAATATTAATTTGGCTCGTTTAATTTTCATAAAATTTTGACAAAATGTTTACTTTGACCCTTTGACAAAAATATAAAAATTTCAAAAAATTTGAACCAACCACTTTATCAGAAAAATTTCGTTGGTTATATAGCAGTTTGACAAACACTAATTTTGATCATTGAGAAGCTTAATATTTCCTTAACAATACAACGTAATTAAAACGTTTAGCTGATTTTTACAGAGTTATCTCCCTGTAGTGTTAGGTACCACCTTAAATCTTTTCAATTAGGATATAATAATACTGTTATTGTTCAGTTATTGAGTCTGGGTCTGGTTATGTTTTGGATTAAATTTATTGTTGATGTGTTCCTGTCTCCGCTCTGTTTACCTCACATCTCCTGTAATTCATATCACCCTACCAAGTTAGCATAGCTCCAGCGATTCACAATATCTCAAAATAATAATAATGTTATTGCGAACCAAATGAAACTTTTTCACAGATTCACTTGAAGGTTACCTGTCGATTTAAACTTTTGTAAGTTCTTTTGTCTCATTCAATAAATACAATATCTATTGTGCTCTGTGTAGTTTATTCACTGGGACCTTTGAATTTTTTCTAAGAGAAATCTATCACTCATTGATTAATTAATATACCTGAGTAAAAAAATCATCTTTTAAATAAACGAAAAATACATGTTTCAACTAAAAAAAAATGCATGTGATGTTGTTTTATTCAATGTCAATAATATATTTTCAATCTATTCCATTTAAACACTGATTTAATCATAAAAGGTTGATTTCTGGCAAAACTTTAAGCATTGTTCTTAGGCCCGAGAACATAGTTATTTCGCAGTGCGTTTCTTTCAGACAATACATTCAAATTAAAAAAAAAATCGCACCTGCTCTATCTCAAGAAGATTTCTACAGAGTAGTGTACTATTTTGGGACAAATAATATCAAAATTATAGAAAAATCTACCAGCTCTAACTCAAAATATGGACAATTCTATGTTAAGGGGGTCTATATTTCAGTTTGACAGCTTCAGACATACTAATTTTTGACCTTTTTTAACTGGACCAAATCACTACTTTACATAAAAATTCAGCACCCAGATTTTTTTAACATGTAATTTGAATTTTCACCCCCCCCCCCCCCTACTTAATATTTCATGCATAAAATATAAAGAAATAAATTTGGAAAGTGAATGAAAAAAATTGTGCAAGTTATACACTGTCCACACTAGGACGATAACATGTCCTCGCGCCATTTAGTACACTGATTCAGTTTGCTTTGTTCTACGATACGCTATATGGCGATATTTATACATTACAAATTATACAATGTAACATTTTATTTCCTAGTGGATCCCTTTTGGGAGCATGAATATTTACGAATCAAATATGATTTAAGATCTCTGGATTTCCAGATATTACAGTTGCCTGAAAAGCTTCAAAATTTCATCCGCAGGGAACTTACTGGTCGAGATTTTAGGATTATTTAAATATCTTTTATATACCTTCATATCCTTTTCTATATCTTTCTCTGATAGACATGAATGCCAATTAAAAAACTAGAGACTCTAAAGAGCCTGTGTCGCTCACCTTGGTCTATGTGCATATCAAACAAAGGACACTCTCCAACATTGTAGACGAGGATAGACTTCATGTAAAAAATCTCTATTTTGTTGATCTTGTATTACTGATCTTTTAGTCTGTTTAGTTTCTCTCTATCTTCTTTAGTTTTTGCTCAAAACACAAAAGAGTGTAAAAAAATCCTCATTTAAGGGTAATCACTCCTTTGAAGAGTGACAGTCTACTAACTATATCGGCAAAATTTGACTTTTTAATAGATCTTGCCTTGCTGATCATTTTTGTGATTTAAAGTGTTTATTTATCTATTATAATTTAAATCATACAAGGCATAACGGAAAAAAATGTCTCTCTCAACTAAAATATCATAGTGTTCATGATAATAGGCAAAAATGAAAAGAAAAATGGTAAAATTGCCATTTATGGGCAATAACTCCTATAAGAATTTGACGTATATGAACAATTGGTAGAGCTCATTATTCTGAACATTTTGCTCCTTTCAGATTTTCTCTATTTTTTATCGGTTCAAAAAATAAGACAAAACTTGCATTTTACCCCTATGTTCTATTTTTAGCCATGTAGGCCATGTTGGTTGGTAGGCGAGATCATCGGACACATTTTTTAAACTAGATACCCTAATGATGATTGTGACCAAGTTTGGTTAAATTTGTCTTTGTAGTTTCATCAGAGAAGATTTTTGTAAAAGATTACAAAAAATTTACAAAAAATTGTTAAAAATTGACTACAAAGGACAATAACTCCTTAAGGGGTCAATTGACAATTTTGGTCATGTTGACTTATTTGTAGATCTTACTTTGCTGAACATTATTGTGCTGTTTACAGTTTATCTCTATCTATAATAATATTCAAGATAATAACCAAAAACTGCAAAATTTCCTTGAAATTACCAATTCAGGGGTAGCAACCCAACAACGGGTTGTCTGATTTGTCTGAAAATTTCAGGGCAGATAGATGTTGACCTGGTGAACCATTTTACCTCAGATTTGCTCTCAATGTTTTAGTTTTAGAGATATTAGCCAAAATCTACATTTTACCCCTATGTTCTATTTTAAGCCATGGCGGCCATTTTGATTGGGGGACGGGATCATCGGACACATCTTTTAAACAAGATACCCCAATGGTGATTGTGGCCAAGTTTGGTTAAATTTGGCCCAGTAGTTTCAGAGAATAAGATTTTTGTAAAAGTTAACGACGACGGACGACGGACGCCAAGTGAGCTAAAAACCTTTAAATGTATAAAACTGTATTTCTTAACAATAAGCATTCGATTCATAGGGGTTTTACACAGAAAGGATTTTTTTTTGTACATTAAACGTGCCCCAAAAACAGGTCTATAACTCTGAACATTTGCAATAAGCAATTTTTAACATGAAAGTTTATGTTATTTCTATCATTTTTACGACTAATTTTCATTTAAAGACATAGTAAACGGTTCTTCTAAAAGTATACGTGCTAATTTATTTTGTCCTTAGTTTACCGAATAACAAATAAACAAACAAACGTGTTTATTTTCTCACAAACATTTATGTATAAAGATGAAATATGATTTTGTTATGATCAAACAATTTATTTACAAATATGTAAAAGAAGAAAATGTATTTTTGTTTATGCTTTCACGGCTTGAAGCCACACTTCGTTATGTCTGTTAATAAAGGCAAATGGACTGTCGTATCCAAGAGTGAAGAACCGAGATGAATCATACACATTGGAAGCATTAGTGTCTAAACTTGTTTTTAGTTCCTGTAATTTTGTGACGTAAGTACTTTCACTGGCGAATCCACCAAATGACCTAAAATGAAAGATCAGAAAACATATGTAATGAATGGTTAGATATACAATATTTCGTTTTGTAAATCGAGTTGCATTGTGTTTTTAACGAATAGAATTGTAATAAGGTTTATTTTGCTACCATTTTTGTATTTTGTGAAATGTAGCAAGTCGTGAAATAATTACAATACCTTTTTTGAACTGTTAGTAAAATATCATTCTTTTCAAAACGTTTCCAATAAATGTTCCGCTTTTAGTGTTAGATTATTAAGCTTGGCAGACATGCTCTTTAGAGTCTAATTATACAACATCATAAACAGAATATTTGTCATTACTGCATGATAGCTATAATAACAGGATTATATGCTTTTTTAATCCAAACGTCTTGGTTCTTGTCATCTTCGCCAGCCGAACGTTTTAACTCTTAGTAACAATAGTAAGACTTTTGATAAAGCTTGGAAATCTTTCTGTACAATATAGAATATTAACAAATTGAAGCGACAACTTTAAACACGACTGGTTTTTAAGCTGTTTTAATCTCACATTGCCAGTCTGGTTTTCTGGTTTTCTGGATTCCAATATTTCTTACATCATTGTACCAATTAACCTTCTAATTGAACTAGAATTGGAGAACTTGACATTTTTACTACAATGATCATATTCTACCAGGATAAATAAAGCTTTATGGCTTCGTGGGAGTAACAAATATGTCAAAACATAACATACAAAACACCACAAAAACCGCAGGCATATATATACATATTAGTTTCATAATTATTGGAAAAAGAATTAAAATACGTTTCAAATGTTACATGAGATAAAGACATTAATCAACTCGAGTTATGTAAAATGTTTGTGTAGTATGCATATGAGAGTGGGAAAACAATACTCGCGCAAGGGCGTTAAATGTCAGACCGCGCATTATTAATTCAACGAGTAAAGACTGCACAGTTATTTTAGATCCAAGAAAATTTACCAAAAATTACCAAAAATAACATTTAGAAATTAGATGAGCGTTTTACAGCAGTTTTACTCCCCCAGTTATAAGTTACGTAATAGTGTTCCTCGGGCATGTTGAGTCAAACAGAATAGAATTCACACGATTTCTATTATACTTCTAGATGTTGATTACGGTTATATGTGTTGTATGTTTCTGTCGATGACGTTTATCTAACATCATTTTTGGTTATTGATTGCGGCTTCATTGACGTATTCTGTACATCTCCTTTAATTCAATTTATCCAGATTAAAAAAAAAGTATTCACAAAAATACTTAACTCCAAGGTATATTCGAAGGGGGGAGTTCATTAAAACTGACAAAATTCATTGCTCGATTATATCAACCAAAACGGAATGAATGGAAACAGCCGTCATATTCCAGACTTGGTATAGGCATCTAAAACTGCACATCTAGATTCAACTAAGCTTCCATATGGACTTTTAAAATAATTTGCATTAAAAATCATACTGACCAACTATTTGTCGTATAAAATTAACCGATTTGGTCAAGCAAGATTCTGTCATCAAATGTGAAAATTTGTAACATTTACCAAATGTCCATTTTTATTGATTTTTTTTTTATTTTCTCCGAAAATGAACATAAAACAATGAAAAATTGCCGTTCTTATATTTATCAAGATAAAATAACTTACTTAACGTAAACGTCCATTGCTGGCACATCTACCAAATATACATCGCTATCATTAGGCACCGGAGTATTGGTCTGTTTTGCGTAGGGAATCATAAAGTGCATGATGTACATAGTCTGTCCATCTGATTCTGGTATTACTGTGGTTACCACGGGTGCAGTCATTTCAACTTTTTCTCCTATGGAAATTTATAGTATTGTTAATTATACCAAATGTTGAATTGTCGAAATAAAACCATGGAACGTTTAATATAGGTATGTTGTCTGCTCTATGGTGGGGTTGTTGTCTCTTTGACACATTCCCCATTTCCATTCTCAATTTTATGTAAATCTATTAAACAATTCTTTACTGTTATTGTTGTGGCAAATACAAAAATACAATTCATTCTTACAAAATGTGTGCGTGTCTAATGCAAACATGATAACCTGTTATATTCTCAAATATAAACATAAGCTGCCTTTTTTCTACAAATTCGAAAGAGCATTGGATCTGAGTCCTTTTATTGCAGATATTTTTTTACGTTGTATTTGTTTCTGTTAAAATGTTATTATTGAACTGTGCTTTTTTACTGGATTTTATTAGAATTTTTTCTCTGTACCTTTTTGTTGTCTCAGATTATGGTTGAGTACTCTACAAACTAAGTAACCCAGCCACGTTTGTCGTGTTTCTTAATGACATTTCATCCACTTCTCTTTTTATGGCCCCGCAACTAAAAGTTGCAAGGGGGGGGGGGATATTGTTTTACCCCTGTCCGTCCGTCCGTCCCATTATGGGTATATAGTTATTCCACATAACTCCTCCTACAGTTTGAATGCTAGGAAGTTTTGACTTTGCTGGCTGTTTGTATGTATATTGAAGGTGTGCATGTGGTCAGGGTTTTGATTTTTATTAATATTTGCTCTTTTGGGAGATAGTTGAACTTTGTCAATTTTGGAGTATATACTTGTATAAGAGGTGCATATAGCGATCCAGGATAACTCCTCCTACAGTGAACCATAGACCTATATGCTCCCATGCTCAACTTTGTGTATTTTAAAATAACACTTTGCATCTGCGGGGACATCATTTGTGTCTCCCAGACACAATAATATCTCAAAGAAAGTCCTACATTGACTTTGTTATAATACGGTTACTTCAGAGTGGAGTGCGGGGGCATCACTTTGTCTAGTTTTTTTTTTGTATTTGATCTAATGTGTCGTCAAGATTTTTCGGAAGATATGAGTTCCACATAAAAACATTTATATTTTTTATATATATATATGCAAAGTAACAAAATCTAAACTTTGTGAGAAGTAAATATTATCTGTGTATTGACGACATAGTAATGTAATGTTGCCTGTACTGACCTGGAACATTATTTCCTGATATATACTGGAAAAGTTTTTGGAACAACTGACCATTGCTTGAGCGTCCATACGTTTTAACTGTCATGTTTGTTGCTACCCATTTTGATGGGATATAATGTCGTAGTTGGTAGTCCTACAAGTAAATGTTATTTATGCATTCATCATGCTTGTATTGGAAATCTCTGCAGTGAAACCACAGGCACTTGTCTCTAAAAAAAAATTACCGATATACCTAATATTAAGGTATACATAGGTATTTTTTTTCAAAGACAAGTGCCTGTGTACAAAACTGTTTAGAGGTATAAGTTGTTGTGCAAACAGTGAGAATCTATCATTTCCAACATGACAAAATATCTGATTGAAATACTAGAAAATGCGTATTGTAAAAACTACTTCCCTTGTGTCCGTCAATCACAATCCATAATTAAATCCCATAAGAAATTTCAGTTTTTAGTGTGATTCTTTTTTCAGAACAATATATAATTTCTGTAATTTTTGAATTTGTCTCTCGAAGGAATTGTAAAACTATTAAAAATTAATCATTAGCGAAACAAGTAAAAATGGGGATTTCTCTTTTTATTTATAGCCAAAACACCCAGTTAATTCTAAACAGACTCGAATTCCTGTGAACAAATTTTACTTCCTTCTTCGTGTTTTTCAACGTAACTAATATAAACAATCCATTTATAGAACTTACTGTCGTGTTCTGTAAAACTGTAAATTTTGGACAATCAAGTTTATGACAAAACCATGGTTTCACATAATCACTGGTGGCTTGTACAATAATAAGAAGGCTTCCGAATGATACAATGGAACTCAGCATTTTTAGAATATCTGTAAAGGAAATTTATGCTCCTTTATTGATATAATTTTATATTTTATCTTAAATGATATTATTATTATTATCATTATTATTATTATTATTATTTTAGTCTACACATTAGTCCAATTGCTTTTATATACACACTGCGGCAGGCGATTGGTGCTTACATGGACCCACTTTTATTGTTTCTATCTTAGAGATATTTTCAATAAAGGTTCTATTCAATTTCAGCTTACTTTCCTATATACTTAAAATTGAGAATGGAAATGGGGAATGTGTCAAAGAGACAACAACCCGACCATAGAGCAGACAACAGCCGAAGGCCACCAATGGGTCTTCAATGCAGCGAGAAACTCCCGCACCCGGAGGCGTCCTTCAGCTGGCCCTAAACAAATATGTATACTAGTTCAGTGATAATGGACGACATACTAAACTCCAAATTATACACAAGAAACTAAAATTAAAAATGATACAAGACTAACAAAGGCCAGAGGCTCCTGACTTGGGACAGGCGCAAAAATGTGGCGGGGTTAAACATGTTTTTGAGATCTCAACCCTCTCCCTATACCTCTAGCCAATGTAGAAAAAAAACGCACAACAGTACGCACAGTAAAACTCAGTTTAAGAGAAGTCCGAGTCCGATGTCAGAATAGGAAACAAAAGAAAATAAACAAAATTGTCTACTTCCAAAGTATGATTGTGTTGGTATGAGAACAATCGCGTTAGAAAATGGAAAATAAAAGTAAAACGGTATTTTTTCACAGAAAATAGCTGTCACACGGAATATGATAAAAAGGACTTACTTTGAAGAAATAGGAGAAAATACCAAGGGGCCATCAAGAACCTTAAGTTGAAGAAAAACAGACAACACCACAGCAAAAAGATGAACGACTCAAGATTAACAAAAGTCCACAGAACTGAAGATTGGGCAACACGACCCCATCCAAATTCGGTAGTGCACTCTTGTGCTTCGGAAAGGCAAGCGAATGAACTAAACATGACAATTTTGACAACATAAAAATTCGATAAACAATATGACCGAAAAAGATCTAATGCAGTAGTAAACATATATTGAGAAATTATCTCACAAAATTAAGACGTCATAACTGTAAAAATTCTCTTCAAGCACGGGAATTTTTTTTTACAGTCTCCAAACAATACAAGAGACAACCTATGTTAACATAATGAACAAAATTTCAAACGAGCAAAATTACAAGAAATAAGACCTGGTGGACTTTTCCTGCATCAACGTCAGAAAAGATATATACATCATCCGTACTCCCTTTATCAGAATTACTAGATGCGAACAGCAGGCAGCCGTTTGTTGTTTTAGCTGCATGGTCCTGTATCTTCCTAGCTTACTTTTATACATTTTCTAACCATACGAACAAATCAAAAATTCGTCGTGAATGCATATAGCGGAAAATCGTGAAATCAAAAAGTAAACCTTCAAGAAAAATGGCAAAATGAAGTGCAAACAGACATAAAAAAAAAATTATACCACATCTTCTTGATATAGTCTCTGCTGCTTCTTCCTGCCTTGATAACATGTTGCATATATATAGTTTGAATTTCTGATTTAAAAACAATAAAACATTATTTTATATTCTCTATACTTACGATATACAGCTTCTGTTGTGATTTCCTATTGTGCAAAATTAAACGTTGACATTTTGTTATATATCTTCTTTGTTACGTATTCTCCGGATAAGAAGAACGTGGTCTTCCACGAGACCCCTGTTTATGATTTGATATAGAACGTGATCACTTTCTTGGCAACGAAAATATTGGTGATAACTAGTTATTTGAGAGTCATTTAAAGAGTTATGAAATAATTAGTTTAGCTTAAAATATTTTGGTCAACTGTAAACAGTAAGCAGTAAAGGTGTAACATGTCTCACAAGTTTTCCGGAATTTGTGTGCATTTCACATTCTTAATAGTTAAAGGCATAACTTAGAAAGATGCAAATATATTAAAAGGGAGGTTCCGGCAGAGATACATGTGTAATTTGGTTCTTAATCTGAATTTCAGAAAACTAGTTATTTGCAAAGTCCATGTAGTTAATATGGAGCATAAGTCAATTAAACAAAAACATAACAAAACAAAAATCCAGAAAACATCTAGGGGTGAACAAACGGTCTTCAAAGATAAACAATTGTTCATACCATAGTTCAAGTTATAAATTACTCGGAGCCCCATCAAGTTGAGTATACATTCAACAGGGAATTGAAAGAGACCTCAACCTCATTGATGGACAAAATCTGAGAAATATTTATATACATACAGGGAAACAGTGCTAAATAAAGCTTATCAAAGAGCCTTGGCAGATGACTGAAAGAGTGTATGGATAATCGTTTTATGGAATTTTAACATAAAAAGCATAACAATGATGTCTGTCGTCCAATTATAGTATCACTCCCAATATTTCTCAAATATGTGATCAACTGGTAACAACATGGAACTATATATCAGTCCTAGTATCAAACCATCGACCCACATCAAACCTCGAGCGATCGCCTCTGGATTGACATGGGAATCTTGAATTAATACGAGCAATGCCATGTAATGATAATTTAAAGGTATAGAATTTGACTCCAGGAATGAAAACTAAATGAAACGATTTGATTTGCCGTGTTTCAAAAAGAGAGAGAGAGAGAGAACAAAATAAAGGGGCAATCAAAAACATAAGTTTAATAAAAAAAAAGACACCACAACGGCCAAAAACCATAAGTCTAATAAAAACAGACAACACAATGGCCAAAAAACATAATTTTTATAAAAACAGACAACACAATGGCTAAAAAGTCTACTAAAAGCAGACAACACAATGGCCAAAAAAGTCTTTAAAAAAACAGACAACACAATGGCCAAAATAGTCTAATAAAAACAGACAATACAATGGCCATAAACCATATTTTTTTTATAAAAACAGACAACAGAATGGCCAAAAAAGTCTAATAATAACAGACAACACAATGGCAAAAAAATTCTAATAAAAACAGACAACACAATGGCCAAAATAGTCTAATAAAAACAGACAACACAATGGCCAAAAAATAGTCTAATAAAAACAGACAACACAATGGCCAAAAAGATAACAACGAAACGAAAGATTTAGCAAAACCAACTCTACAAAAAAACTGGGGATGAACTCCGGTGCTCCGGAAAGAGCAAGATTAGTTTCTACTCCAATAGTGGCACCCGTTGTACTCAGGTGTTCCAGAAAGAGCAAGATGAGTTTCTACTCCAATAGTGGCACCTGTTGTACCAGGTGCTCCGGAAAGAGCAAGATGAGTTTCTACTCCAATAGTGGCACCCGCTGTGTTGCTCATGCAAGTAAAATTCATATGATTAGTCGCATTCGGTAATGTCAAAATCCAGGAAAAGTAGACGGAATTGTGGTTACGACATGTGGAACATATATCCGTGGTCATTTGTGAGTCAATCTGAAAAATACAGCCAAATCATGATTGATGACTTTACTTTATTACTAGAAACCCTTGGTGCAACAACCTCCTTGTATGCAGAAACCCTCTATCAAGGAAATACTGAAAGGAAACCCAAGCCTTTGAATAATATATTAACTGTGAAATATATACTCAATAGGCAGGCGTTGTTGGAAAGTTGCTACACATAAATGGAAAGTTTGCATTGGAAAAATTAACATTAATTAAACTTCTGTATGAAGAGTGCCGCAGTCATAGGAATAAAGTAACAAGTTGAAAACCACATCCACTAAACATAACAAAAATGTAATCAATAAAAAATCCAACATTTTGAAGGTCTGTTTCAGAAAATTTTGTTTGGGTCATAGTAGATTTTTTACAACGTATGATTATTTCCTTCCTGAAACAAGATATTTGTATCTGCATTAGCTTAACTGTTCTATGAAACATAGCTAGACTAGTTCTTTGAATCTGACTTTATGTTTAGAATGAAGAATACACTGAAAATATGAGAAAATATTGTTACCACCCAAAAACAAGATGTAATTGTTTAACTTTATCTACTACTGTAACAGTGTAATAAGCAAAAAAAGAAATATTTGAAGGACAACATTTAACTTGTTTTTATGAATAAAGTTACCTTGAAAAACTTCTTGTGTAAAAGCATATTTCATTGAATAAATGAAAAATAGTCAGGTTATACTGATATGAGGAAGGAATTCCAAATATATATCAACGTTCAAAAATAATTTACAAAAAATGTATGCACCATAATTTAAAAACTCTTTACCCATGAAAGTTCTTTTTGAAGCATGATTCCCGAAATCGAATAATTTCAATCACAGACACAATTTTCTGGCACGTCGGTCTACTGACTGTTTCCAACCAAAACGTTTAAATATGAAATATTGTCTCTGTATGAATATAACGATTTAAAGGTTTATCTGTTTGGGTAAAAAAAAAGAAAGAATATAGAAAATATATTTGCAAACATAATAATCTGTTAAAGAATTTTATTTTTTTACAATGATTCATTCAATTGGGTGTCTTTGAATTTGCCTTGGTGATCGAATTAAAATAAAATTTAATCTGTGCTGCAGATTATCCCGATTTTGATGCTGATTTTTTTCTTGAATTGTTATCTGTCTACATATGGAGTATTGATTGAAGTCATGGTAATTATACTGCTATAGTAGAAACATTACTGAGGTCTGCACGTCAGGAATTTGTTCGCATAGGAACATTATAAATTTATTCTGCTCAAAACTCTGATAGCCTGTGTTTGCTTTCATTTGTTTTAATAGAAAATTTGTTTTTGTTAGAAATACGTGATAACAGTTCTCTCATTGTTGATTTGTAACCATTGTTACCGGCCTCTCGACCCCCGCTTTTTTCTTCTTTTTTTATCATTTTTTGTGTTACAAGTATGCCCACCACCACCCACCCCTTTTTTTAACGTGGTCTTGCTTTAGAAGGCTCTTCAGAGCCTTCGTATCGTACGAACGTTTGTATGATTTCTAAGATGTGTACTTCTGGTAACTTTTGAGTTGTTTACTTATCGCCTAATTGGCGTGAACCACACATATTGGATGGCTTAGTAGAGCCCAATATGAAAAAGCTAATTTTGTTAATGCATAGAAGGCATAAAAAATATTTAACAAATATATTTCGCTTTCGCTGGTATAAAAAAGGGCCTCTTCTTCAAAATTTTTGTTCAGGCTCGGCATAATTATTTCTTTTTGTTTATATCAAGCTTCCTTATTCTGTTTGTAATTTAAATCACAATGATGAACCTGAACATTTAATTGATAACGAATCACTGAAGATATACCCGATTTTTTTAAATAATCATTTCCATAAAGGTAATATTTCCTATGACGAACGTTGCTAGCACTTGACACAAATAAAATGGGTTATTATTGATTTCTGTATATGAATGAGGACTATCGCTTTATTTAGGATTTTTAAATCTATTTAAAGATTGTTTAACGTAAGCATATGACGAAATACAAGTCCTGTCAACCAATGTGTTTAGATATCCGGGTGCAAAATTCAAACGGAAGACTATTACATGTACAAAATGAAATTGTCTAAATAATACTGAAAGGAACTGGAGTTTATGAAATGAGCAACAACAAGGTATGTCGTCATGTATTATTTTATCTTTTTTATTGATTTATTGATATAAGTATTTGGTCACTGATGTGTAGAAACTTGAACATATGAATCCCGGGTCATGTCTTTCTGATAAGAAAAGGGTTATCACTCGAACGATTCATACTTGAATAATTGATAGGAAAGAGACAGTCAAAGAGAACTGGTATATATAAATAAATGTAGATAGATAGATATGTAAACCTTCACCGAATCATGTGTCCTACTACCAGGGTCATACTACAATATTACGTATGATCGTAGGGGCTTGTCTTACAGGTCAGATATATATATAGCACATTATCATCTTCGTACATTTCTTTAGAAAAAAACGAGTCTCTCGATCTTCTTTCAAACACCCCGTGCCGGCGCCATAGGATAGAGTTGGGATCAAGTTTGTTTTATTGAAATATACCGAGTTGACACAGGCACTTGTCTCAGAAAAAAATTCCCTATATACCTTAATATAACATTAAGGTATACACAGGCACTTGTCTCAGAAAAAAATTCCCTATATACCTTAATATAACATTAAGGTATATAGGAAATTTATTTCAGAGAAAAGTGCCTGTGCGAGTTGACTATAACAACCAATATTGTCTGTAGAAGTGCCTATTCTTACTGTGTCAGTGAAAAACGTGTCTCCGTTCAAGAAAAGAATTTAATTTACCTGTGAACATTTCATTGACTTGGTAGTTGGAGTTTGTAGTTTCATATTCAAAATAGTTTATTTTTGATTTTAGTAGTTTTCCGATTACAAATCCAAACTTCTATCCCACTGAGTTGCCTCAGTGACTGTCTTCATTTTCACATGAACTCTGAATTTATGCAGTCATTGAATAGTAGTTGGAATCAATTCTTTTTATGTATCTATTGGTCCAGATTCATTTAAAGCAATACTGTTATGGTTTGTAATGTGGGACTAAAAAGTTTACGATAAATAACAAATGAATAGAATATGAAACAAATTCGGTACACAATTAATCCTACCGAATACTTTTCACGTAAACATGTTTACTGCATATATATATCACTGAATGATAGAAAATGTCCAAGTTTGTAAAAATAACATTGAAGATGAAATACACACTTTTTACTTGAATGTCCAAAATATGAAGAAGCGTGCAAGCAATTTATAACATATATAGAAATCTTTAAATGAATATCTTGTCGGATTATGGAAAAAAAATCTTTCAAAAATTCCGGCTACACGAATTATAATAGTCAATTGATATTTTTGTTCATATCAAGTTATTGTAACCTTTATTACGATTATAGTTAGAAGTGGCAGATCATGGGTTTGGTCCAGCTTGTCAGTAAAGCGTATTATGGGACTGATATATTCAATAATAGCGACCTATACCAGCTGCTTTTTATTGCTGGTTTTAATTGAGTGGTTTGATTTAGATTTGTTTTTTCTACAATTGTTGTAAATATCAAAGTAATCATTGTATATGGATTTAATGTAATTATTTAGCTAAGCTTTGGGTGCTGTGATTAGCTATAAAACACTATTCTAGTCTATTCTATCACTATATAGAAGTCCATCTATCTGTGTTATTATTAGAATTAAATTGTAAACATGATTATGAACCGACCGTGACATTATGATTGTCCAAGTTAGCAGAGGTTAACCACCCAAAACCCAACCTGGAAATCATGAGTATAATAAACAATTAATTTATATATAAATATTCCCAGTCCCATCCCCAAAAAAACAACTAAGTAATAGAACAAAAGTTAACACAAATATTGTGTTTTTGTAATCCTCATGAGTTTTTCAATTTCAATTTTATTTACTTTTTTTCGCTTGATAAGTAATACATAAAGTATAACATCGTTATTTAAGCGTGATTATTTCTAAGGGAAATATCGACAGACGAGATAAGTAGGTGTTTTCCCGAGGGATGCAGAAAATAAAATGCCTCCTACACCGAATCATGCGCATCAACCGCTTCCGGTTTGTACATGCTGTTGATTTTTCGCATAATGAAGTTTCTATGAATGAAGATGTTCTTTGTGTTATATATAAATACTTTGACTATTTTGACTTCAGAAGTCAAATATTTAGAGGAAGAAACATAAAATGTCTAGTCAGGTAAAGACATTTTACTTTATTTTGTAACAATTACTCAATTACTTTCGAAAATATTGTCCGATTTTACTGTAAACAAACAGCGAAAAATAGGTCTTCTGTAAACAACCTTTTATCCTGCGGTCACAATTTGTATTGTTCAATTTGCTGTATTTTGATTCTACGCTATTTCTTTTAATTCAAGTATATTTCTTTTTATATATTTAAAAAAAAACAAAAACTGGGAAAGCCCTGTATCCTGCAGTAGTTCTGAGAATTCTCTACATTTTCTGAAATACACAAAATGTGTACACTATTATTGAAAGTGGGTTAAACTTTTATGCATGCATTTACATATTGTGACATTGTATTTGATGTACACATGTGACATGTATCATAATGAACATTGTTTTTTTTTTCATTTTAAAATCACAATAAAAAATTAATTAATTCTTTCAATGTTAATCTTTGTTGATACTCTCTGAAACTAAAAATCAATCTGTCAGTGTTGATACTCCTTTCTGGTATAACCAAATCCATGATGTACATGAATTTAAAATGGGTGTTTGACATGGGAGTGAAGGTATATTTGCACCCTCAATCAAATGTCAGAGATATAAGATTTTTTTTGCTCTAAAAAATAGCCTAAATTAAAAAAAAAATATATGAAACTGCTACAAATATTTCCCAGTTGTATTCATTTGCTTCTTCATACTATAGTATTACAAATACAAATGTACATTAACATATTAAATTGTTGAAAAACTTTATTTAATTCCTTCTTTTTGTAAAATCTAAATGTAAACACTAAGGTTGAATTCCAACCAAACATGTACATTTATCAGCCCTCAAAGTAGCTTCTGAAATGAAGTTGCCAATTTGGCCACAAGACACGAAAAATTTAGTGGCCAGAAAATAATTTCAGATTGCCTTCATTTTTTCAAGCTAAATAAGCGTTGTAAAAAGTAATCTTTTTTTTTTCTGTATTTTTATGCTGTTGTGTAATGTGTAGAAAGTAGTTTGTATTAATCAATAGGAAAGTAAAATTAGATACATGTAAATCATGTGTTGACTATTTTATTAATTTTCTTGATCAGGTCAGTTTTAAGTTGTTCATTCTGATTCTTCAATATCATCAGTTTGGATTTATGGTTGCGTGTCGTTAAAGGTAACCGGTCTAGAGTTTTTTGGTGGAGATACATCGTTCAGATTGGTTTCTTCCTCAGCAATGGTTTTCTTTCTAACGCATGCTGTCAGCAGTAACTGCTTTGCCATTTTCAGTATAGAACGACAACAAAATACTTATATATTTAGTACAATTACCTGATGCAATAAAGTGCTGAGGTTTATTAAAAGGATGATGGTCACGAAATTTGAAGGATGGGGGCTTATATAGAGTTATAGGGAATTTCAAACAGGGGGTCAAATTTGCCTTATATAACAATGTATAATTTTATTTTATTTCAAATTTATGCATTTTTCAAGCTCTAGAAAATAACGTATTGTTCCTTTTGTAATGCAATAAAATCGATCTATCAGTACTGTAGTTTAAGTGCTGCAGTCATCAATTTTTATTTGACGGTCGCCAATATCTGTTTTACTGGTTTCACTAATTATCAGATTAGGTTGATTATGGATGTGATTCTGACAAAGCAGTTCAAGGGACAGTTAGGCAAAAAAAAATATATATACCGGACAGACCCTACTTTTGAGCGCTGACCCTAATACATTTTATTTCTGTCTTAAATGAACTCGTGTCAAAAGCGAAGTAAGAGTTACCTATAAGATAAATCAATTGCCTGATACATCTAAATGTTCACAATCATGAATATGACAGCTGTTTTAAGGAAACTCGCAACTCATGTGATGAAATAAACATTATGCTGCCATTTTTTCAATCCAATAACCAAGGGAAATAATCCAATCATTAAAAATATTGGTAAACATCAGCTCATGGACAACTCGGACCAAATGACTCAAAATCATGTTGCAAAAAATAAAATGAAAAAATAAAATAAAATGGAAATACTGACCTACATGTACCTACCCTATTTTTGAATGATCATAGATGTAATCTTTAACAGACATTTTTTTTTTTTTGGCCTTGATGTGAACCTTTTTGTACAATGTAAGTGTAAAGATAACACTGATCAACATTTTTTTCCAATCTCATTTACTACATTTGTGTACAATAACATGTAGTTATGAGTACATATAGAGCTTGTTAGCTGTATCAATGTTTGGGATTTGACAAAGTGTATTTGTAGTATTTTCATTGTAGTTAAGGCTGTCAGAGGCAAAAACAGTTATGGTTATTAAGTGTTTTCTGCACAAAACTATTTTGAACTTTCCCCGAAAAATTTTCACAACGATTATTTTCTCCATAACTGATCACCAACATATCAGTTGTTGTATCTAAACTGGTAACTTATGTTATACAAAACATGGGACAGAATTTACCAAAAACAGTAATTAGATATATATATTATTTCATCTTTTCAGTCTGTTCAAGTGAAGATTGAACTAGGGCATAGAGCCTCTCAGAGAGATTCGCCATCACCAGAAGGGTACACACATGATTGGACTGTTTATGTCAGAGGACCAGAGGGTTGTAACATTTCAAATTTTGTTGAAAAGGTTGTTTTCAATCTACATTATAGTTTTCCGCACCCAAAAAGAGGTATGTATAGATGTTTTTATGCCCAACCTAGGTGCATTGTGTTTTTTTATCTGTGCGTTCGTCCGTCTGTCCTGCTTCAGGTTAAAGTTTTTGGTCAAGGTAGTTTTTGATGAAGTTGAAGTCCAATCAACTTGAAACTTAGTACACATGCTCCCTATGATATGATCATTCTAATTTTAATGCCAAATTAGAGTTTTGACACAAATTTCACAGTCCACTGAACATAGAAAATGATAGTGCGAGTCGGGCATCCATATACTATGGACACATTCTTGTTTTTAGATAAAAAGAAATAATATCACATACAGGGTCCTCACTAATGATTTTTGAAGGAGAGTCAAGGTACTCATTATTTTTTACCATGGTGAATCTAACAGTGAGAAAAACAAATTTTATTGCTATATAATTAATTATTTCAATCTCCATGACAAAAAAATAGCAAGAAAAGGACATGAAATGTAGAAGGTTTTTTTTTGCTACAAAATGATGATACCTGGGCTCAGTTGATACAACATATTAAAATCTTGATGCATCTTTGGACTCGCCAGTTTTAAAAATGATGAATCCAGACAGATTTTCATGAGTCCAGGCCTAGGACTCATGGACTTGCCTTAGGGAGAACCTGACATATATATATAAGTAAATGTTTATGAGACAATACATGGTGTTTTTCACACTAAGAACAATCCTGTTATCACATTAAGTAGATACCTAGTAGGTATTACCTACATGTAGAAATAATATCACAGCTTTTAATTATCTAGAAACCCCCATTAAAATATCAACTATACCAACACATAAAGAATATTAATTGATATTGTCAGTTTGGACTACATTGTATCTTTAAGTTGACCATCCCTTAGTATACTTGGTACGTTAAGGAAGGTGTTGCTTTTTACATAAAAATAATGTGTCAAATAGCAACAGAAATTTTTCTTGAAATATTTTTGTCAGTCTTAAATTTTATGCAATAAATTTAAAAATAAGGGGGAAAATATGGTAACAACTTTTCTAAATAGCCACAGTATCAATTTGACCAAATAGGCCAACATTTATTTAACATGTTTAGTATACCTTATACATACATGCATGTAATGCAGCATTTTCTTAAAAACTTTTAAAAGTTTATTAATTGTTTCCTTTACAATCTAAAATCATGGGTGGTCTTCTTGTAGTGTGCTTGGCTTAAGAGGGGAGGTTAGATCCCTGGACCAATCAAAGCAATGACTTGAAAATGTATATACATATGCTGTTTCCTTAAGGCATTTAAGAATTAGAGCAAAGAACTGATCAGCTGACTTGGCTCAGAGTGAGAATAATGTGTCTGGTTAGGGTGACATGTCTCCATGTGGACTGTGTCTGGGTAGGGTGACAAGTCTCCCTGTGGACTGTGTCTGAGTAGGGTGACATGTCTTCCTGTGAACTGTTATATTATTAACTAGCACGGAAAAATTCAGGCTCAGCATAACAGTGGAGTACAAGGCAGGGTCCATATATTCATATCACACTAAATTGTTCTCATCCTGATATAAATGTGATATTTGCCAATGGAATTTAAACGCCAATTCATCCATCATTTACAAGGTTAATATAGCAATGATATTTACATAGTTATTATCTCAGTTTTGTAATAATCTTTTCATTATGAAATATTTATAATCAATTTGATGAATAAAGTTGAAGTGATATAAAGAAAAGTGGTCCAACAAGTTGTTTGCAGTTCTGGTGGTGAAATTAAAAGATGAGTCAACTTTGTGAACAGTTAAAGTTACTGTTTGTACAAATTCATTTCGGACCTTCATTTTTGTTAAAGTAATTTTTTTCAGTCCTAGCTTTTTCTCAAAGAAAATGTATTAAACATGTACAAATACATGTAGTTACAACAAAAATTAATTGTTATACTTGATTGTTCTTAGCTATTAAGTGAAAATGGCCACTTGTGGATATATTCCTTTGCAAATTGATAATAAACTGCCAAGTAACAATACATTATTGAAATCATAGTACAAGTAGCATAATTTATGAGTTTCATTTGCATATACATTGTATATATACATGTTTTAGTCAATCATATGTAACATTTACAATGTAATGCCTATAATTTCTTACATAATATTGTATAATATTACCCCAAGATTTTTATAAAAAAAATAATGCAGAGAGGGAGTTTTAATAAGGAAAATATCAATGAAATAAAGTAAGGCCAAGAAAAAAATAATGCACAGGAGACAACAGGCCACATGTTTTATCACTGAATTCTGACCTTATGTTTCCACATTTTGTACCAAATGTTGTAACAGACAAAAAAGTTCATTGTTTATGATCAGCAAAAAATGAGTTTGGAGGTCAGTAGTTAGATAACTAGAAACATAAAAAAAAATCTTCTGCAAAAGGCATACAATTGTTTGAGTGTGTATACAACTTTTATAGACTTTGAATGATTTATAGCATAACTTGTTGCATAGACATCTGTCTATTGTTGAAGACATATGTTACCCTCAAGATGCTGATTGGGTTACTGGTATTTTTATACGACCGCTAAAAAATTTTTGTGGTCGTACATTGGTATGACGTTGGCGTCGTCGTCGTCCGAAGACACATTGGTTTTCGCACTCTAACTTTAGTTTAAATGAATGGATCTCTATGAAATTTTACCACAAGGTTCAATACCACAAAAGGAAGGTTGGGATTGATTTTGGGGGTTATGGTACCAAGAGTAAAGGAAAAAGGGGCCAAAAATAAGCATTTTTGTAACTTCCAGACATAACTTGTGTGTTAGTGTATGGATCTCTCTGACATTGTACCACAAGGTTCCATATCACAAAAGGAATGCTGGGATTGATTTTGGGGGGTAATTGCCTCAAAATTTTAGGAATTAGGGGCCAAAAAAGGGGCAAAAAACAAGCATTTTTCTAGTTTCATGACAATAACTTGTGTGTAAGCGTATGGATCTTTCTGAAATTGTACTACAAGGTTCCATATCACAAAGGGAAAGCTGGGTTTGAGTTTGGGGGTAATTGCCGAAACGTTTAGGAATTGGGGGCCAAAAAGGGGCCAAAAATAAGCATTTTTCTAGTTTCCAGACAATAACTTGTGTTCAAGTGTATGGATCTCTCTGAAATTGTAGTGCAAGGTACCATACCACAAAGGGAAGGCTGGGATTGAGTTTGGGGGTGATGAATCATAAGGGGGTTCAAAAAATTTGGGGGGGGGGATTTTTTTTTTTTTCCTTTTTTTTCTTTTTTTCCTTTTTTTTTTCTTTTAAAATTTTCCATTTTAAGTTGGTTATTTCTGATTTATATTTAAAAGCAAATAATAATGATATGGTAGGAGGTACACACCAAACAGGATGTGTAAATAATTATATAATAAGTATTGTGCAATAGCAAGAAATTTTCAATTGCACAGTATTGCACAATAGCAAGAAATCTTCAATTGCACAGTATTGCGCAATAGCAAGAAATCTTCAATTGCACAGTATTGCGCAATAGCAAGTATTTTCCAATAGCACAATATTGCGCAATAGCAAGAAATTGTCAATTGTACAGTATTGCGCAATAGCAAGAAATATTTAATTGCACAGTATTGTGCAAAAGAAGATACTTCGTATAAATTGCTTATTTCTTGACCAATTTCAATGGGGTTTTATTCTTGAATTCTTGGGGTTCTTTAATATGCTGAATCTAACCATGTATTTAGTTTTTGGATTTTGGGCCCCATTTTTAAATTGGTCCACATTGAGGTCCAAAGGGTCCAAAATTAAACTTTGTTTGATTTCATCAAAAATTGAATTATTGGGGTTCTTTGATATGCCGAATCTAACTGTGTATTTAGATTCTTAATTTTTGGTTCCGTTTTCAAATTGGTCTACATTAAGGTCCAAAGGGTCCAAAATTAAACTTTGTTTGATTTCATCAAAAATTGAATTCTTGGGGTTCTTTGATATGCTGAATCTAAACATGTATTTAGATTTTTGATTATGGGCCCAATTTTCAAGTTGGTCCAAATCGGGGTCAAAAATTAAACTTTTTTTGATTTCAACAAAAATTGAATATATGGGGTTCTTTGATATGCTGAATCTAACCATGTATTTAGATTTTGGATATTGGACCATAATAGGTGAATGTCCAATTTAAAATTTTTAAGTTCTTATATATAATTAGACCACATTCATTCTGTGTCAGAAACCTATGCTGTGTCAAATATTTAATCACAATCCAAATGCAAAGCTGTATCAAGCTTGAATGTTGTGTCCATACTTGCCCCAACTGTTCAGGGTTCGACCTCTGCGGTCGTATCAAGCTGCGCCCTGCGGAGCATTTTATTTGTTATTAGGTTTGAACTTGCCATCATAATATTAGTTACACAGTGTGCTAGTGACCTAATTATTGTCCTAATAGGAAACATACGTGGGATGCGAGAGCGAAGCTTGAGCCCCATATGGAATTTACTAACCCCATATACATTGTATATGGTATTAGGTCAATATCCCACTGTGTAAGGAATTTATCTTATCAACTATCTAATATGGGGAATTTAGATGTACCAGTAGTTATAATTATTTTTTTTTACTTGTTGTTATAGTGATCAAAATGAGTGAAAGCAGTGTCTCTTAGACATGTTTTTGTCTAAAAGCTTGAAAAATTATAATAATGTATGTTTACCATGTATGTTAATTTTACAACAAAACTCTACTTCTTACTAACCATATATTTAAAATAAACTACGCCCACTGACCTAATATTAGATATACACGGTCCCACATGTTGGCTTTTAACCAATGATATTCCTAGAAGTGTATAGGAGGTAAGACAATGACATATACACCACATCTTTTATTTGTATGTTAAAATAGTAAAGTTTTGTCATATTCATGAAGTGTATTGAGGTAGAGGTTGATATTTTTAAAATATATACATATATATATAAATCTGGAAAATAAAGGTGTATGCAATATTAGAAAGTGAAAATTTGTTTATTTCAGCTGTAGTTGCACCACCATACCATGTGGCAGCAAGTGGTTATGCAGGATTCACATTGCCAATAGACATTTATTTCAAAAACAAGGAGGAACCAAAAAAAATCAGATTTCAGTATGACCTATTTCTAAAATTAGATGATACACCAGTTAATCATATACGATGTGAGAAATTAACATTCCAGAATCCAACAGATGAATTCAAGAAAAAACTACTGAAATCAGGAGGTGTAAGTTAATACATATTATAGATATACACTATAAAAGAGAGGAGAAAGATACCAAAGGGACATTCAAACTCATAAATCAGAAACAAACTGACAATGTCATGGCTTAAAAGGAAACAAGATCAAAAGACAAACAACATCATACAAAACACAACATAGGCAATTAAAGACTGAGCAACAAAAACCCCACCTAAAACCGACAGCGATCTCAGGTGCTCCGGAAGGGTTAGCAGATCCTGCTCCACATGTGCTATGATACTGATGTCTGTACCCGATACATGTTAATGGAAGATTCTTTATCAGGTATACTTGAGCAAAAACTTTGACAAGCTAAAAATTTGGTAAAGGTCAATATTTTTGTGAGTAGACTGTACAAAAACTGAATAGACTTAAACAGAACAGACAAAACTGCAGTTACATGTACTGTACTTAGTGAACAATTTAATACTGTATTGAAATTAAACTTTATGTTTTTGTCATCTTCTTCAATCAGAAAAAAAATGAAAATAAAATTTGTTTTTTGCTTCAGTGTAATAACAATGATAACATCAATTTTTATACGCCCGTTTACGGGACGTATTATGGAAACCGTTGTCCGTCTGTCCGTCCGTCGTCAACATGTCGGACATTAACTCAAAAACAATTTAACCAATTTGCATAAAACTTTGGTGAATTGTTTATATCTATTGATGTGAGCTCCCTTTCGTTTTTTATAAATTTTAGATTTTACGTTTCCGAGTTATGGGGTTTTATTCATTAATAAAAGGGGGATTTTCCATTTTTCGGACAATAACTCAAGAATGCTTACACCAACTTGCAAGAAATTGTGGTGAATTGTTTATATCTATTGACATGAGCTCCCTTTCGATTTTTATAAATTTTAGATTTTACGTTTCCGAGTTACAGGGTTTTATTAAAAAAAAAAAGGGGGATTTTTCAGTTTTTGGACAAAAACTCAAAAATGCTTTCAGCAGTTCTTATGAAACTTTGGTGAATTGTTTATATCTATTGATGTAAGCTTCCTTTAGAATTTTATAAATTTTACATTTTACATTTCTGAGTTATGGGGTTTTATTCATTAAAAAAGGGGGGATTTTCCAGTTTTCAGACAATAACTCAAAAATTCTGCCAGCAATTCTCATGAAAGTTTGGTGAATTGTTTATATCTATTGATGTTAGCTCCCTTTTGATTTTCATAAATTTCTAATATGACATTGAGAAATAATTGAACTTTATTTGTTTATAGTCTGACAACAGATTCACTAAGTATTGCGCAACAGCACAGTGTATTGCACAACAGCAAGAAATCTTTAATTGAATATAAATTCAATTCATATAACCAATTTCAAGTTCTTTGACTACATTTCTTCAGAAACCTGTAATATGTCAAATAATTAATTACAATCCAAATTCAGACCTGTATCAAGCTTGAATATTGTGTCCATTTTTGCCCCAACTATTCAGGGTTGGACCTCTGCGGGTGTATCCAGCTGCGCTCAGCGAAGCAGTTTATTACTACATAAGATGCACTTTTCAACAATTTATGTAAGGTCATACTTTCATACTTTTTGCTTCAAGAAGGGGTTATTACGATAGTCAGGGTACTTCCTAAGAATGTAATTTGGTCTTATTTTCATTCACCATAGTAGAATTTCAGAGTTTCTTTAAAAAAACGGTTATTGATATGACAGGATTTTCATATGGTCAGATTCTTCAAGCAAAATGTCATGTACATGTATACTTTGTCCATAGAATCATTGTAAGGTTTAAATGTCCATTTGACAGTGCTAAGTGTTCACCAGGCCTTGTCACCTAATTGCAAAAGACTCTTATTATACCCCACGCAACGAGTTGCGGAGGGTATAATGTTTTTGACCTGTCCGTCCGTCAGTCCTGTTTCTCGTCATCGCAACTCCTCTCAAACCACACAACAGAATTTCACGAAACCTTTTAGATAAAAAGGACATATTATGTAGTTGTGCATATCGACAGGAAATTACGATTCAATTTTTTTTTCTAGGAGTTACACCCCTTTGAACTTATTTGCTTTAAGGTACTACTTCAACAGTTTGTCATCGCAACTCCTCTGAAACCACACAACAAAATTTCATGAAACCTTTTTAGATAATAAGGACATACATACTATGTAGATGTGCATATAGACAGGAAATTACGATTCAATTTTTTTTCTAGGAGTTACGCCCCTTTGAACTTATTTACTTTAATGTACTACTGCAATAGTTTGTCATCGCAACTCCTCTGAAACTACACAACAGAATTTCATGAAACCTTTTAAGATAATAAGGACATACTATGTAGATCTGCATGTCGACAGGAAATTACGATTCAATTTTTTTTCTAGGAGTTACACCCCTTTGAACTTATTTGCTTTAAGGTACTACTTCAACAGTTTGTCATCTCAACTCCTCTGAAACCACACAACAGAATTTCATGAAACTTTGTAGATAATAAGAACATACTACGTAGATGTGCATATAGACAGGAAATTACGATTCATTTTTTTTCTAGGAGTAACACCCCTTTGAACTTATTCGCTTCAATGTACTTCTGCAACAGTTTGTCATCTCCACTCTTCTGAAACCACACAACAGAATTTCATGAAATTTTGTAGATAAGAAGGACATACTATGTAGATGTGCATATTAACAGGAAATTATTATTCAATATTTTTTCTTATACAATTTTTTTGTTTTACTTATTTAATTCTCCAATGACAATGTGGGGACGTGGGGTATGTGAGCGTGCTCACTAAGGTTCTTTAATTTATAGTCTGTCATAAATGTTATGTATGATGCACAGTTTAGGCATTTCTGCGTGTCCCCTCTTGTTTTTCATTGTAATGTGATTAACTTGTATTTATGTATTTTTCGCCCTTTTTTCACAGACCTTGGTTGGCAGTGGTGCTAATCTTGACAACAGTGGGAATGGCAAACAGTTTACAGAATTATTTGGCCAGCCAATCACAGCTGATTCAGTAAAGAAAGATAAGAAGTCAAGCACTAAGGTATTCATAGTTTATATAGAAATTGGATTTGTTTAAGAAAGAATTGTTTTATATGGTTTCAGATTTGCAGGGCAGTCACTTCCTGTTTGACTATAGCATACTTTGAATTTTTTCACAATCTTATAATGATTGGCAGTATACTTTGCAGGACATCACATGTTAATTTCTTGTTCATACATGTTTACTGCTTAAATGTACAAATGTATGTTGGTCATTGAATGCAAAAAGAATGTATGTTATAAAAAGTGTAGGAAGTCAATTGATTTATACAACTTTTGATTCATATTCAATAAACAAAAAGAAACAAATGAATTGGCAAAGTCTGTATAGTATTATACACATAATCGTAAAAATGTGATATAAAAATGAGGAGATGTGGTATGATTGACTATGAGAAGACTGTCAACCAGAGTTAAAATGAAATGGTAGTAAGCAAATATAGGCCACTGTACAGCCTTCAACAATGAGAAAAACCCATACTGTATAGTGGGCTCTAAAAGGCCCTGGCATGAAAACTGTGAAACAAGTTGATGTTCAGATTATCATTACACGTAAAATACCCAATAGAATCTATATGAAGTATTTTCTTAATAATTGAAATACCATTGTCTTATACAGATTAAATGTTTTAAGATACAACTGAAATGACATTCACACACCATTTATAAAATAGATATTTCACTTCTTCAGCTATATGTATTTATAATTTGGATTTTCCATTGCTATATCTTCATTATTCATAGCAATTGTTTTCAAGTACAACAATTTGAGCAGAAATGAGCAAATATCATTGCTAATAAACTTTATAGTAAAAGCTTGTATGAATATATTTTTACCTGTGCATTCTGTTAACTATTGTTGACTAATACATAGCATTAGAGGATAACATTTAAAAAGTGAAACAAAAAAGAAACCAGTACCACAAAATACAAGTCAGTCACTCAAGAGTTTAAAGAAAACAATAAGAAATTGCTCAAAATCATCATTTATGTTTAGATTTTTAGTCCCCTATCAACGAAGTCGAAGGGGACTTTAGGTTTGCACTCCGTCCGTCTGTCTGTCTGTCCTTCTGTCAGTCCGGCAAATCAGCTTTCCACACTTTTTTTCTTCGTTCTTGAAGATATTGATTTGATATATAGTTTTATCATGACAAGTTATAGATCAAGTTCAAATTTTGTTCTGGTCTGATGATTTAATCCAGTTATGGACCATAACTCTGGACCATATCTAATGTTAGAGTACTATGTTAAACCATATTTTTGTACAAAAGGAGATAACTAATTTTTTAAAAGACATTCTTTGTTCAATTATTTGAAGAATTTTTTGGCAGGTTTGTTAGTTATTTAGTATAAACTAATTTTCTGAATGCTATATATATAAAAAAAAATTATGAAGAGAAATCCTTTAATTAGATAATAATCTATTTTTATTATGTATATATTTTAATACATTACATTGTGTAGATAAAAGTTGTTGACATTTTATAGATAAGTTACAAATCTATATTAGTTTGTGACAAATGAAAGAAAAAATATTTGGAACTATTAATTATATTTGATTATAATTTGAAAATAGATATACACTGTATTACATCATATCTAATTTTAGAGAACTATTAATCATATCTAATGTTTTTTTCATCATGCTTATACGATATTGATTGATAATTGGTATATAGTTTTATCATGACAAGTAACAGATCAAGTTCAAATTTTTGTTTCAGTCTAATAATTTTGTGCAGAGTTATGGTCCTTGGACTTGAAAAATTCACTCATACAATCAGTTTTTATATGACCGCAAAAAAATTTTGTGGTCGTATATTGGTATGACGTTGGCGTGGTCGTCCGGCGTCGTCATCGTCCGAAGACACATTGGTTTTCGCACTCTAACTTTAGTTTAAGTGAAGGGATCTCTATGAAATTTTACCATAAGGTTCAATACCACAAAAGGAAGGTTGGGATTGATTTTGGGGGTTATGGTACCAACAGTTAAGGAATAAGGGGCCAAAAATAAGCATTTTTGTAACTTCCAGACATAACTTGTGTGTTAGTGTATGGATCTCTCTGACATTGTACCACAAGGTTCCATATCACAAAGGGAATGCTGTAATTGATTTTGGGGGTAATTGTCTCAAAATTTTAGGAATTAGGGGCCAAAAAAGGGGCAAAAAACAAGCATTTTTCTAGTTTCATGACAATAACTTGTGTGTAAGTGTACGGATCTTTCTGAAATTGTACTACAAGGTTCCATATCACAAAGGAAAAGCTGGAATTGAGTTTGGGGGTAATTGCTCAAAACGTTTAGGAATAAGGGGCCAAAAAGGGACCAAAAATAAGCATTTTTCTAGTTTCCAGACAATAACTTGTGTTCAAGAGTATGGATCTCTCTGAAATTGTACTGCAAGGTACCATACCACAAAGGGAAGGCTGGGATTGATTTAAGGGGTAATTGCCTCAAAATTTTAGGAATTAGGGGCCAAAAAAGGGGCAAAAAACAAGCATTTTTCTAGTTTCAGGTCAATAACTCGTGTGTAAGTGTATGGATCTTTCTGAAATTGTTCTACAAGGTTCCATATCACAAAGGAAAAGCTGGAATTGAGTTTGGGGGTAATTGCCCAAAACATTTAGGAATAAGGGGCCAAAAAACAAGCATTTTTCTAGTTTCCCGACAATAACTTGTGTTCAAGTGTATGGATCTCTCTGAAATTGTACTGCAAGGTACCATACCACTAAGGGAAGGCTGGGATTGAGTTTGGGGGTGATGAATCATTAGGGGGTTCAAAAAATTGGGGGGGAGGGATTTTTTTTTTCTTTAAAATTTTCCATTTTAAATTGGTTATTTCTGATTTATATATAAAAGCAAATAATAATGATATGTATTGAATAGGTAAATTAAATTTTTTTAAGTTCTTAGACCACAATCATTCTGTGTCAGAAACCTATGCTGTGTCAAATATTTAATCACAATCCAAATTCAGTGCTGTATCAAGCTTGAATGTTGTGTCCATACTTGCCCCAACTGTTCAGGGTTCGACCTCTGCGGTCGTATCAAGCTGCGCCAAGCGGAGCATTTTATTCACACTGTTTTTAGTCATGCTTGAAGATATTGACATGATTACTTTTTGTTTACACCATGGCAAGTTATATAACAAGTTAGCATTTTGTTCCAGTATAATGAATTTTTACCCGGTAGGGGACTATGTATTGCCATGCAATACTCTCAGAATGCTTGTTATGATAAACATACATAAAATGTAGATTTTCATGAAATACATACATTCCATTCATAATTGATTACTGAAAACTTCAGGGTTTCATTAATCTACATTCTTTAAAAAGCAAAGAAAATCTCAGTTTTAGGCAGAATTTGAAAACTTTGTTAGTAAATCTCCCTGAAATTGATTTTTTTTTCGAATTTTGCACTGGATTAATTACTTTTTTTATTTCAAAACTTGATTGATTGAACTCTAATCATGATTTGATTGATTGATCATACGTTTTGTGTTGTTCAGTGACATGATAATTTATATATGGAATATATAGAGATGGATTATTAATGCAAAAGTTCCAACAGGATGAAAAGTTTGATTTTGGCCAGAAATAGTCTGCTACAACATGAACAGGAATTTCATTTATTGTTCTTGTATTAAGTTGTTAGTTGTCAAAGTTTCTATCATGAAATGAATACTTTCAATTCTGAAACTTATAGTATATAGTTTAAAATTTATATTTAAAAATTGTATATTACATAATTTTCTATTCTTATTTATTAAAGGAAAAGGACAAAGACAAAGAGAAAAAACCAAAGCATACAGGTAGTGTGTCATCAGAAAGCACGTCAAAATCATCAGCGATTCCATCTAAATCAACTGAACAGACGCCAAGTTCCAAAGATCATAAAAGTTCCACACCAAAAGATAAGCATTCATCATCAAAGCCTTTAAAAAGGCCGTCAGATGCCACTGATACCAATCCACCTAAAAAACAGAAGAGGAGTTCCTCCATTTCCTCTATACACTCTGAGGATAAACAAAGACTAAAATCCGAAACAGATAAAATTAAACATTCTAAACACAAGGAAAAGAAGAAATCTTCAGAATCTTCCCACAACTCCCATGATAGAAAAGTGACATCGTCGTCAGATCATAAATCAAGCTCTCATCATAGGAACGAACACAAATCAAAACCGGACACGTTAGTGGCAACAAAAAAGATTAAGGATGTACCAATTAAGAAAGAAGATAGTGTGACAAAGCGAGATGAGACGAAAAAACCTGAAAATACTTTTTCAAAGAAAGATTTTATTAAAGTCAGAAAAAATTCTGTGGATGCCCCGGTAAAAAAGAAAGCAAGGATTTCTGAATCCAGTAGTAGTAGTGGAAGTGGAAGTAGTGATAGTGACAGTAACTCTAGTAGTGGATCATCATCTTCTTCGTCTGATTCTGAGTCTGAATTATCTGATAATGAGGTGGAGGTTAAGAACAAAGAGGTGGAGTTGGGTCACGATAGTGGCAATGATACAGATATTTTTGCGGAAGATACCGAAGATACTAAAGGGAGACAAACTCCTGATGCAGAGTATGTGTCTGTTGTTACAAGTGAAACTTTGAATAGACCTAGAGCTGAAGCACTTAATGACATATTAAAACAGCTTGGCAATGACGATGATGATGACGATAGTGATTATGAGGCATTTGCAGCCTCTGATTTAATGTCACACCATAGACCTTTTGCAAAATCGTCTCCATCATCAGTTAAAAGTTCATCATCAGTTAAAAGTTCAGCTTCTGTCTCTAGAAGAATGGATTCTCCGTCTTCTTTCCTGAATTCCAAATCTTCACCAATGTCATCCTCCCATAAAAGTTCCAAATCATCTCATCAAAGTACTGAATCATCTAAGCATTCAAAATCTTCTCATTCAGAATTTGTGCATAAAAGTTCCAAGAGTTCTTCATCAGATAAGCCACCAACTCCTTCACAAAAAGGCTCCAAGCCATCTACACCGTCATCTCAGAAAAGTTCTAAATCTCCTATATCACATAAATCTACAGCTCCATCACCAACATCTTCTCACAAAAGTTCAGCAAAATCTAGTCACCATTCATCTTCAAAATCTGGTTCATCTAAGAAATCTAGTGATGAGGTAAAGAGAGTGGACAAAACACCTGACGAAATGATCAGAAAAGGAAAGACAGCAGATCAAGAGAAAAAAGAAAAAGCTTCTTCTGATTTATCAAAGGAGCACAAAAGTTCCTCAAAGTCTAGTAGCAAACACAAAGAGAAAAGTAGTGAAAAACATTTAAAATCTGATTCTTCAAAAGACACAAAAAACAAAAGTGAAAGTAAAGAAAAAGAACCAAAAAGTAAGGAAAAGGAGGTTAAGAAAATATCTGAAACGAAGGACAAGGAGATACGGGTGAAAAGTGAAAGTAAAGACAGGGAGATCAAGAACAAAAGTGAAGGCAAAGACAAGGAAGTGAGGAATAAAGTGGAGTCAAAGGAAAAAGAACATACTAAAGAGAAAATTGAACAAGTAGAGAAAGAGTCAAAGAGCAAAACTGAAAACAAGGGGATTGAAAAAGAAAAAGTGTTGAAAAGTAAAAAGGAGAACAAAGAGAAAGATAGGAAAGAAAGTAAAAAACATTCAAAAGACAAAAAACATTCTGGAAGAGAAAAATCGAGATCTGATTCTATAAAAGAAATCAAAACTACTCCAAAAGAAGTAAAAGCTAAAGAAAAAAATGAAGAAGATAAATCTCAAAACGTTTCCTTAAACAAGGAGAGTAAAACTAAAGCCAGAACAGTTGAAAAAGGTACAGAGGACTCTATTAAAATATTGGAAAAAGAAAAAGAAAGAGCTGCAAAAGAAGCCAAAGTCAGGGAAATTTCTAAATTTTTACAGGGAAGCAAAACATCAAGTAAGGAAAATAGAAACAAAGAAAATGATGAGAAATCAAAATCAATTAAGCAGGAAACTAAAAATAAAGAAAACGATGAGAAACTGAAATCAATTAAGCAGGAGACCAAAAATAAGGAAAACGATGAAAAGCTAAAATCAATTAAGCAGGAAACTAAAAATAAGGAAAACGATGAAAAACTGAAATCTTCTCACCATTCATCAAGTAATGGTAAAGAAGCAAAGAAAAAAGAAGGTTATGAATCTTCAGCTAGAAAATTTGATTCACCTGTAAAGGAAAAGCCAGTGGAAGTAGAGATGAAGAAAGAACATGTTAAGATAGAAAATTCAGAAGAGAAAGTTGCAAAGACTGCTAACATATTGAAGGAATCAAAAACCGATTTGAAATCAAATTTACAAGAAGAAAAGTTGATTTCTAAGACAGAACTATTTCTGAAAGAAGAAGAAACCACAGAAATTACTTTTGAAGATTCTATTGAGAATCTGGGGAAAGCCCCTAATGGTGAGGATTCTGCAGAGAATCTGGGCAAGGCCCCCAATGGTGAGGATCTCTATTCTCTGCTTGAGTTACATGAAAAACTTGAAAGAATACAAGATTCTGTTATCTTAGAAAAGGTTGTACTTGCTATACAAGAAACGGGAATGTATAATGTTGGGGAAACGACCTTTGACTTTGACCTGTGTGTCCTTGACAGCAAAACTGTCAGACTCATTGAAAATTTTATCAGTAATAATGCAGTGTCTGCAATGTAAAAAAAACAAACTTTTGAAGTTCTGATTTTTTATAAATTTCATTACTTATGCATGATTGCTTAAATACAAAAAGAGTAAAATGTTTAAACAAAGTATTTAAATTTCACATGATGTGGGTATCGGACTGAAAAGTTAAGTAAATATTAAGCAGAAGGTTTTTGTATTTTAGCAAATCAAGTTTCAGTTCTCTTTTGCAGTAATGATGTAATAAAATAGTTTTCAAACATTTTTATGTATACTAATGCAAAGTGCTAAATTGTACATTCTTGGACTTTTTATTGCCTTTTTGTTTTATAAATTATTTCAGAAATTGATTGTATATTTTTGTACATGTTGTTGAACATGTTGTTTCACATGTTGTTTCTTTGTGCTGTTGTGTTTTATTGTTTTAATAACATTGTTTTAAACAGTTTGGAAATCATTACTTAACTGTCAGGACGGGAAAATATGCTGAATGAAATATTGATTTCAATTTGAAATGTAACTAAAATAGTCAAATGGTGGGAGGAGTCCTGTGAAACATAAAAAAGGTATATAACATGTGACTCTTCATTGTCAAGATCTATTAGATTCCACAGATTTATAATTGCACCATTTAGTTATATTATGTTTAATGAATATCATCTGTCATGGATTGGGTTTGAACAATGTAAAAAAACATGACAAGAAGACAAATCATCATGTAAAAAGTAATGTCCTCCTTTTATAAAGACCCTTAATCTATTCATGATCAATTTGATTTGGACTAAATTGAATTTTTTTTTCATAATGAATTTGTGCTTCACTTTCCTGAAATTATTTTCATGTGTTATAACAGTCTCAGATTGCTTACATATACATTGTTTAGTCTCTTGTGGATAGTTGTCTCATTGGCAATCAAACCACAATTCCTTATTTTAGATTTCCGTACATTATCTGTGGCAAAGTCTTTAACATGTATATGTTAAATTATGTTAGATTATACTGGTATGTAATTGACTTTTTTTCCTTTCTAAAAAAATAATATCTTGTACTAGAATTGTTTTTTTATTGCAATGCGAAATGCAATGATATGTTTTACTGTGACCACCTGTTAGAAGAGTAGATATCGTAAAGAAGAAAGGAGGATCTGGTATTTTGATTGATCTGTTTGGAGTGTATATATATATATAAATAAATGTGTACTACCTTTGTTAGAAACTCTGTCATGAGCTGTACTGATGCTAGACAGTAGAAGAGCGGTGCTATGTATAGTACTTAAGCATATTTGATGTTTGTATAGTAAATATCCTAAATTGAGAAGACCAGAATTAAATTTTGACAAAATGTGCCATACTATTGAAACTATTATTAGATTTAAAAAACAGTCAATTTGATATGAAATTCTGCTCATAAATTTAGCAAGTTTCAATTTATTTTGTCTTTTCAATTTATGATATTTTGATGTTGGATCAGAGTTTTGTTGAAAAATAAGATGTGCCAAAGAAATCAAAAAAAGTTCTTAGAACATGTATTGTCATGTGCATTCATTATTGTGATTATATGACAGACTTTTGCAATTGACCCTTTTGACCGTTCCATGATAAAATTTAATCATTGATATAAGCTATGGTATATGCCAATTTGCAATATGTTGCTTGAAAAAACTGGCAGTTATGTTCATTTGAAAATTTCTGAAGATTGTAGCCTTTTCCCATTAATGGGAGCTTCTAAGTCAGTCTTGATACAATGGTGAAGGATCCATATCTTATATTACATAAGCAGTGATATATATGCAGTCCCTGTTAAGTTATCTGGCTACATAGTGTATCAATTTGTTTAAGATTTCTCACTTTCTAATCTTAAAAGGTCTGTAAAAGTGAATAAAGGTGAAAACATTTGTAGATAATTTGTAATTTCTTTCTCAATGATTGCTAAAGAATTTGGTCATAAGATTATATCGTGCTCCTGTTAGACATAACACTTTATTTTACACATACATTTATTTGTATAGGGTAAAATTTAGAAATAAAGATAACATTTTTCCGAAGAGAAGTATGATATTCAGTGAAAACTTGCATTCACATTACCAAAGGATTTTAATTAGTAGCAGTAATTATTGTAATTTAAAAGAAACAAAAACCTGTGTACTTGTTACTCCCTACTGGATGATTAAACTGACATTTTTTGCTTCGACGAAGATCCTTAATGATCTGCAGTATTTGAAAGCTTAGTTGCTGGTCTAGTTATTTTTAGTTTTTGGATGCATCTTAGTGTTTTAATTAAATAAAAATGCATGTAGTAGATATCCTTCTGCTTGAGTGGAAATATATATTGTCAGTTTTTATAACTGCTTATTCCAAACTTCACAAAGTGTTAGTCCTACTAGATGATTCTGTTGACAAGATAGCTTACTTATGCAGTAGAAATACTTCAAAGTCTTGAAATTTTGCATTTTGTCAAAAACAGTATGTTAAAAGTTACATTTGTTATATGTTGTAAATGAAAAATGGCAATATTGTTGTTGTTTCTATGTTGATTTTTCAAACACGATGTTTTGTTTTGTTTTTGGTCTTGAAGGGAATGACTTGTATTATATTTGAACAACAAGTAGGAACTTAAAATGTTTTACATTTTCATGAATGAGTACAAAGGCATTTGTTGTTCATCAACATTATTTTCTGGTTTGGTGACCTTGTTAACTTCATTATATGACTGAAAGCAAAACATTTTAAATTTAAGTTCATAGCCAAACTTACATGACTTATTTTTAGTTGAAGTTAAAATGAAATAAAGAAGGTTGTGTCAAAAATCAGTGGCAGTAAATTTAAACGTCTTTTTGATAAGTTCGCCTCTTGTTATAATGCAATTTTGTCAAGAGGTTTGATTTTCCTGTCAATATCTACCTAAGGAGACATAATCAGCTCACCATCTTTGCAATGAGGTTCTGGGCTTACAGTTGTTGTCTCCAAAAGGGAGTTGGTGTAGTTAATTTACTGCAATATGAAATTTGAAAGGACAGAAGGTTGCACCAAGCAGCTGAAAAATACCCAGTGAAATTTTGTGTGTGGGTTATATTAAGTGACATTGAATCCCTATCAGTATACACATGGATTGGTAAGAATCTTGAATCTTTTTTTGTTGACCTCTTGACCTAGGTTATAAATGTCTGTTATTGTTTATAATTTATATTGATGTATTGGTAATCTTACTTGTAACATGTGTAATTAATGTGTTTTAGAAATGCTTTATGGTGGGCAATGCACCCCTATTAGATATGTAATCTTTGTGTTAATTAAGGCAGCAAATCCATGAAGTACATGGCATGGAATCTTTAGCTTGCAGTACTACAAGTAAATTGATTCACGGAAAATGAAAATTCTAGAAGATCTTTTATTGGAGCAGTTTGGATTACTTTAAATAATGTTAAGTGTTGACATTTCCAAAACATTATGTTTTACAATGATCCTCTATGAACTGGAGACAATTGATCTAAGTTCTGATTTCAAGTTAACTGTTAAAGTTGCATAAAGCTTTCAAGCCTCATTGTATGAAATTTTATAGGAATAAAGACTTATGTTGAAGGAATTACCTAAAGTATTAACTCTGATGATTTTCTCACTAAATAAAAACCCAAGAATCATATCAAAAGCGTTTTTAAGATTTTTTTTGTTTCATTTCTTTAGTTTTAAAGCTGCTTTTTTAAAGTAAAAGTATTATTTCACAGTTGTTATTTTTTTTTATTGTTGAAACAATTAAATTAACTTTAAACCTTTAATCCTTGCCAAACATTATATTGTTAACTGTTATCTGAATTAAAATGTTGCTCCTTTGTTGTTTAAAGATTTTAACAAGCAAAATTGAAAAGTGGTTATTTCTGAGGGATTTTCAAGAAATTATTGTACTTCAAAGTCTTGGTCTAAAAAAAAAGTATCACTGATGGATCTATTACAACAATACTTATGATTCGAAAAAAAAAAACCCTATATAATTTATTGAAAGTTTAGGATTGTAAAAACAAACTATTCTAATTTTTCCAATATTCTAAGATTAAAAGTACTAGCTCTGCAGATATCTTCTTGAGAAGATTCTTTTACCATATGCTTATGTACTTAAAACACAATTGGTTGTTGTCAGTGTAACTGATTCAATGGGCCTCTTGTAAGTTAAGGCTTATATTATCATTTAGGTTAACAGATTGCTCTTGCAGTTGTGACAGGTATTATTTATTGGAATGTGAGTCTATAAGTGATGATCTCTTTTTTCATGACATTGTAAATTGTCCATAATCATATTTATTTCATTCATTGGTTGTTAGTCATATTTTTATGTGAAGCATTCGTCACATATCACTAGTATAATGTATAATCAGCACTCAAAACATTAATGTGCTTCACAAACTGAGATACTGATTGGTAAACTGTTCAGATCATATTCTGTGAAAAAGTAATTGACAAATAGTTTGCACTATACAATCCCTTTTCATTTTCTAGATCATATCTATCAGCTTCCACATGTAATTTTGTAAGGTATTCTTATGGCAAAATATCCTTCATTTCTACGTGCCAAACTTTTTACAGAATTATAGGAGTCGAATCAAGGTTTGTGAAAAGGGGGTCTTAAATGTAAAAAATAATTGATTATTTAAAAAAAAATTAAAACTTTTTCTCATAAAGGTGGCATAGGCTGTCTCCCTTTCCCCTCCTCAAAATCAGCCACTGGAATTAAATGGACTGCCTTTTGATTAAAAAATACTTGTTAAGCAGTAGTGGTTAGTCTTTTTATGAATTTTATTCTGTCAGAGGGGATAAATTTATTTTCTAAATATGATCTTTTATATTTTATGAACTGTATTCTTATAAGTACAATATACATGTCTTTATTTATTTAGAATTATATATCATTATTGATTAACTAAACCCTCTTTTCCAATTTATCTTTACAATGCTAGAATAATGTATTTATTGATGAAAACCAGTCTTTTTAAATTCATTCCCATACATAGAATATGTTCTGGACAGTTTTCCAAGTTCACTTACTGTTTAAAACTTCAGAAGCACCAGCTACACATAATAATCTGTTTGTTTGTTATAAAATATTTTAAAATAATATACATGACTTGTTACCATTGTAATTAACTTAATACATCTTTCAATTTCATTGGGAAATTTTTGAGATTTTTCATTTTAATATTTATTGTTCTCAAGATTGTTAGTGCATTCAGACAAGAGTTTACAGACTATGTTGACCCCTTGGCATTCACTGATAAAGCAAATAAATTGCAAATTGAATAAATTAATTTTTTTTGTTGTTGTTGTTGTTGTATTGATCTGGCAAATTTACCAGAAACAATGAAACATTACTAGTAAGAAATTTAAACCTCACAGGTGCATGTTCTTACAAGGATAAAATGAATAATGTCTATAAACTCTTTACAATCCTTCATTATAACCATATCACTTGGGCTGCACAAAATTAAATAAAAGTGATAGTTACATTTTCTGATCTGTACCTGGAAAATATATAATTCCAAATATTCTTGGAAAGATAAATGATCTAAGAATATTTAAAGACAATAAGGGGAACGAAACATGTTGGTTTCCATTATTTATTTGTGCTGTATTTGATTATAAATCAGAATTTATTTTTATTAAAGTACAGAAAAGTGCAGATTTTTTCTTCGTATTACACTAACTTAAATATTATAATTCTATGCTTGTTAATATTTCCCTGGTTTGGAATTTACCCTTTACAGTGTTGACTTGTGTTTCTATAATTGTTGAATGTTTTCTTTATTTTTCTTTTTATACTTTCATTGGTGCTTCTGAAAAGATACGAAAATAAAATCTTAAATTCATATTGTTCTTTTCTTTCTTGGCGTTGATATATATCAGTATATGTGCATTATTGATTTTTTTTATTTGTTTGATAGAAATATCATATTATAGCCCCACTTTAGGAGTGGTGGTATATAGCATTCACCTTGTCTATTTGTTCATTCAACAAATATTTCCATCACAATTTTCTTATGTAGTACTGAACAAAATGACTTCATATTTGGTCAGCATATTATGTTTGATAGAAATATCATATTATAGCCCCACTCTAGGAGTGGTGGTATATAGCATTCACCTTGTCCATTTGTTCATCCAACAAATATTTCCATCACAATTTTCTTATGTAGTACTGAACAGAATGACTTCATATTTGGTCAACATATTTTGTTTGATAGAAATATCATATTATAGCCCCACTCTAGGAGTGGTGGTATATAGCATTCACCTTGTCCATTTGTTCATTCAACAAATATTTCGGTCACAATTTTCTCATGTACTACTGAACAGAAAAACTTCATATTTGGTCAGCAGATTGGTAGTTTTGAGTTGTAATGTGTGAACTCTTTTCTGATCTGTCAAGTTGGCAGTGTCTACAACTTCTTGTTTACTGATATTTGTACTTTAAATTACTATTGGAACGCCACTTTTAAGCACCGCTTTTGGGCTATTTCGTGGCGGCCAGTTTTTATTGGTGGAAGAAGCCGGAGCGCCCGGAGAAAACCACTGACCTTCGATAGGAAAACTGACACTCCTAGTCAATTAAGATTGGATTCGAGTGCACCCGCACGAGCGGGGTTCGAACTCACAACCTCAGTGTTGACTGGCTAGTGATTACAGTAGTAACTACTTAGACCACTCGGCCACCGAGGCCCCTTACTATTACTATTGGGGATATGCTTAGAATGGCAACAAGTGCATTCTTGTTGAAACTACAAAAAAAAATTGCCACATATTGGCAAATATATCACAAATATATATGTAAATAATTTGAAACAATATTCTTATTAACATGCATTTAAAAACAAAGTTTCTGAATTGAAGTGACAACTGTGGCTGGTTAACTCCTGAAAAATCTTTTGATAAATTATGCCGAAGGTATTGCACTGACATGTATTCTAATGGATATGTCCACTGTAGCAATAAAACAGAATAGAAGGAATCCACTGACCAGAGTGGAAAACCAATAAGTGATAACTTTTTTTACAGAATTTACAAAAAAGGACATCTACATGCTAGTACATTATATCTTTAGAACAAAACTGATACTGTAAAAATTCTATAGCCAGAGCAGGTAGTGCAACTACATACCCGGACATTGGCAGTCCAGAAATATCCTACCTCCATTCCAATTTGTATACGCCCGTTTAGGGACAAATTATGGTATACCGTTGTTTGTCCGTCCGTCGTCAACATGTTGGACAATCCAATTTGCATGAAACTTTGTTGAATTGTTTATATCTATTGACATAAGCTCCCATAAGATTTTTATAAATTTTAGATTTTACGTTTCCGAGTTATGGGATTTTATTCATAAAAAAAGGGGGATTTTCCAGTTTTTGGACAATAACTCAAAGGTGCTTAGAGTAGTGTTCATGAAACTTTGGTGACTGGTTTACCACCCTTTAGTTTTTTTTATAAATTTCTGATACGACAGTGAGGAGTTACATGTATTGAACTTTATTCTTTGAAAAAGCGACGGATGTATCATGCGCTCATGGCGCAGCTGTTTATTCCACGTTGTAACACCTGCCTATTTGATATACTTGGGTTTGTTCTAATCAAGAACACATATAGATAAGTTCCATAGGACGTTTGCACAAACAATAGCATGTTCCCAATTTAATTGACCTTTACAAGAACGCCGTTGCACCACATTAACATCTAAGAATTGAAAACATCACTATTCAGAGAAAAAAACCACAAGCATAACAACAGCAAATTTGTTGCTCTACAAAACAGTAGCCAAACCCGAAATAGGCCAAACAAAACCATTTCTCTTCTTTCAGCTCAACTCGGTTAAGGTAATGAACCACTAAAAATTAAACAATAATTATAGAAAAACTAAACTTTAAAGCAAAGTATATCAACACTGCATACTATAGAGAACTAACAAGTCTAAAACAAAGCAGTACAGCATCTGCATGCATCTATGTAATCAAAACGCGAAAAAATGCAACATGTCGGCTCATATTTGATTTCAACATTTTATTTGAAAACATTATATACAAACTAAACTGTATAATACTGCAATCATATTTTTTTAAGAAGCAGGTGGTAGGGATTGGTTTATATTTTTATTGAAGTTTAATTGACTATTTAAGATTGATCAAAACTTAATAATATTATACATACGTTGAAGAGCGGACAACACATAACAAAAAAGACCAAACGTATAGCTAAGCCTGTACAAGGAATCAGAGCTATGAATGAGGGAGATAAATTCCTTGATTTAGAATTATTTAAAAATGTTATTGAAGCAAATTCAAATAACACAATATCCGTATTTGCATGCTTGTACCGAAAAATTGGCTACTAGGCTGTTGGTACATTCGGGGACCAACAGTCCACCAGCAGAGGTATTGGCCAAGTAGTAGTAGTAACATAAACAGTACCAATTTTACTGCACCAGATGCTCATTTCGACAATGAATGTATCCTTAGTGATACTCGATGCCAAATTAATTGAAACTGAATACAAAACATAATACAAGCGTTGAATCTGATCAATCCAAAAGGACAAAAGTTATAGCGAAACTCAGAAAGGAATCAGTGCTATGCATGAGGAAGATAATATTTTTAATTTTAAATGATTTTCAAATTTTTATAACTGCAAATTTCCATTAAACAATAGTTGTATTTCATGCTTAAGCCGAAGTACTGACTTCTGAGCTGGGTTAATCTCGGGAACTAACAGTCAACCAGCAAAAGTATCGACACAGTGGTTGTAATATAAATAACTATACCAAAAAAGTAAAATAATATGTAGAAAGCTGTGGATTTAACCTGGTTTTATAGCTAGCTAAACCTCTCACTTGTATGACAGTCGCATACAATTCCATTATATTGACAACAATGTGTGAACATAACAAACACACATAATAGGTAAAAATGTCAAAAATAGGGGTACAGCAGTCAACATTGTGTCATAATCTTAATCACTATAAAAACGAAAATATGTATCAACAAAGAAAAACAAAATGGCATATAGACAAAGCACATAAGCAAACATGAAAGACAAGAATACAAAAAATGGCCATAGCACTATAACACAATGGCGGGACGTATAAGTACCGATCCACGCCAAAAGGATATTGCCAAAAATGGACTAAACAGTAAAGGTAAATAATTTACAAAGACAAATAAAAGAACACTATAACACGTAATTAGGATGATAAACAACGTCAGTATATCTAGAATCTATACTTCAAGACCATCATGTATTATTTGTGAAGTTGATACGGAATATTTATCAACAAGGTCTTGGTATCTTCCGATGAACTTTTTTTAGAAAAAGGACGAGACGTTCTTTGACATAACCCTGGTTCATCAACTTTCTACTCAGACACTGGTGACATTTTTTAAGTCCGAGTAGCAGCTGCAAGCTATTGAGTGCCGAATGAGTTGGGAAATGTATATCCCATATGCAGGTGAAGTTGGTATATTGCTACTAAGGTGGGGGAAATTGATAATTTCAAAATTAAAATCGTCTCGTTTGTCATAGATTCTGTTACTGAGATGACTGCTTATGTCAAATTCGAGGTATAAGTCTAAAAATTGGTAAGGGATTCCACGGAACCCTGGGTCTCGCCTACGATTGCTGCTGTCATTGTAAAAGTGTAATGTTGTCTTAAAAAGTGAGTCCATTTATCAGTAAAATACAGAATTTTAAAAAACGTTTTCTTTAGATGTTATTTCATGGTCTTGAAGATTAGCTTCTGTCCAAGTTTCATAACATCCATAAAGGTTTACAAATTTATCATGTGAAAAAAAATTAATCCCAGACTGTCTATAAATGTTAACTGTAAAAAGTCCATCTTTCAGAATAAAAACTGAAAATGAAAATATATTTTCAAAATTTTGCTTCAGACATTATCTCTTAATGATAAAAAAGCTTCTGCCAAAGTTTCATAAAATTCTATGAAGGTTTGACAAGTTATTGATGTGTAACAAACTTTAACCCTAGACTGTATCTACTTGTTACCTGTAAAAAAAGTCCATTTATCAGTAAAATACAGAAAAATGAAAATAAATATTTTCAAAATTTTGCTTTGGATACTGTATTTTGGTCATAAACAAGCTTCTGTCCAAATTTGATAAGATTCCATGAAGGTTTGACAAAGTTATTGATGACGGAACAACTTTAACCTCAGACTGAATCTAAATTTCAACTGTAAAAAAAACTCAGTCCATTTATCAGTAAAATACGGAAAAATGAAATTGAATATTTTCTAAATTTTGCTCTGGATACTGTATTTTGGTCAAACAAGTTTCTGTCCATATTATATAAAATTCCATGAAGGTTTGACAAAATTGTTGATGTCTAAATGTCTAAAAAAAACTTTAACCACAGACTAAACCTAAATGTTGAAAGCGCCGACGCCGACGCCGACGCCGGTATCTAGGATCGCTATGTCTCGCTTTCGTGACATAAATGTCGCAGCTCGACAAAAATGAGATTGAGGAAGCCGTGTCTGTTGTTTCTTTAATTTTTAGTTCTGGAGGATATAATAATGGAACCCAATCAGAAAAGTTTGGATTGTTAATGGAAATAACATCATCAATATATCTGAATGTGAAATTAAATGATCTGGCTTCTTTTATCTTCTTGTTTTTGACAAGTGTATGAAGGAATTCCGACTCATATGAAAATAAGAATAGGTCGACAAGGAGAGGCGCACACTTCGTTTCGATAGGAATGCCGACAATTTGTTGAAAAAGTATATTTTTACTGCACCAGGTGCGTGTATCGACGATTGATACAAATACAAATTAGAATTAAAATACTGATTGGGTCTATGAACACTCATGTTACATCTATCTTCAAAGACTCAAACGGTGCTAAACACCTGTCTTACCTCCATGACAAATATGTCGTTGTCCCCGCAGATAAAGCATCGACTAACATCGTATTTGAGTGTAAATCACATTACATAAACTGCTTGATAACGGATTTAGGTATTGACATTTCACTTGGAAATTCAATATTTACGCCCATGGCACATACCGAAGAGGAAATCATGAACATTCATATAGGTCTGTTATATGTTCCTTTGGGACTTTAATAAAAGTTGAAGAGCTTGATCTTCTTTCACTGTACTGGATATCAAAATTACATAAGAGTCCTTACAAACAACGTTATATTTCTGGGTCTGCTAAGTCCTCCGCGAAACATCTTTCCAAACCATAAACGTCAATTTTATCAGCAATCAAAGCCAGGCTTTAAGACTTGCTGTGCAAACTATTAGTAACTACTCTAGGGTGGGTGTGAATCGGATGTGGATACTAAAAAATCTCTTAAGAACATACATTAATTTTGGTCTCTATCCTCTTGCAATCTGTATGAAAACATTTGACTTCTACACTCTAAACTTAAAGACATTTTGACAGAACTAGTCCAACTTTATTTCATCAATAAGATTGGACAGCGTAGATAGTACTAGATATATTTATCTTGTTTTAGTAGGGGATAAATCATCCTTTGTAATAAACCACTCTGATTCAAACAAAAATTCTCTGAATCTGACATCATCAAGATGCTGGATTTTTTTTTTTTATTTGTTACGTTTGGACGACGTGTTATTCAACAAACAATAGATTACTAGTAATCTTTGTACCCCCTTCCTACAGACTTGTTCCTTTATTCATATGAGACAGACTTAATACAAGAGATTCTGAGGAAGAACGAAAAGAATCTAGCATTATCCTTCAACTTATCATTCCGCTATACAGATGACAGGATATCAAAAATACAGTCAAGTCTGCTTCATATCTTGTCTTTCATCTAAACAGTATGGTCCGTTGATAACAAAACTTAACGACAAAAGAGATGATTACAGTTTCACAATTGTGAACTTTCAATTTATATGTAGCAACATTCCAGTAGCGCCTGCATACGGAGTGTATCTTGATTTTCTTGATAGATAGTTGCTGCTTACAAGGAAGCTATTAAACCAAGAGTTCCAAATGGTGAAGTTGAAATCAGCCCTTTCAGAGTACCACATATCACTCCGGGGTCCGTTCGCGCCCAATACACGTTCGCACCCTACACGTTCGCACCCCACACGTTCGCCCACTAGGTCCGTTCGCACCCTACACGTTCGCACCCTTTCTTTTATTCAAAAACCTGATAAATTTTTAGATGTTTTGTAGATGTTTATATCAAAATATTTTTATTTTATAAAAATTCGGGAATTTTTAAATGAAATATTGTTTTAAATTGATTTGATGATTAATTATTAAATGTTAATTATGTATGATTACTCGGCTAATTGGTATTTATACACAGCCTAATTTGGTGTTATTGTTGAGTGTTTAAAAATCATGATTGTTGTCATGGTTGTTTTAACTTGCTTTAAATGTAAATACTGCATTTATTTAGCTTGGTATGAGTAAAACTTTGAAGATTTTAAATAAAAAACATGAAAGATAATTGTTTTTAACAGCTTGGCTCCTTTGATCTCATGTGTGTCAGAATCTCACTTTATTCATAAACAATGAAAAAAAATATTTATAGCTATACACTATCCAAAACATGATTACGAATTATTCAACACATAAAAAAAAACGTTGTCAGAATCCCATTTCCTTTTGAAACAATAAAAAAGAATTATTTATAGCAATACACTAACCAAAACATGATTAAGATTTTATCAACACCTAAAAAACGTTGTCAGAATCTCACTTTATTTAGAAACAATAAAAAAAAATAATTCAAATATATATGTACAGATATAGAGCAATACACTTACCTAAACATGATTAAAAATTATTCAACACAAAAATAAAATACTGGTCGTCAGAATCTCACTTTATTTATAAACAACGAAAAAAAATGTTTATAGCAATACATTTACCATGACACAAAAAAAAACCTTGTCAGAATCTCACTTTATTAAGAAACAATGAAAAAAAATATATATTTATAGCAATACACTTACCAAAACTCGTTTACAAATTATTAAACACAAAACTAATAAAAATTAGGCGCGAACGTGTAGGGTGCGAACGGACTTTGGGTGCGAACGTGTAGGGTGCGAAAGTGAAAGGGGGCGAACGTGCATGGGGGCGAACGTGATTGGGCGCGAACGGACCCGGATTCGCTCAGACTTTAGTTTCCTATGTTGTGTTATGTATATACTGCTGTTTGTCTTTTGATCTGTTTTCATTGTTTTTTGCCGTGGCGTTGTCAGTTTGTTTTCGACTTATGATAGAAACAAGAAGATGTGGTATCCGTCCGGAGTCATAATGTGTAAAATGTACACAATTATAGGTCAAAATACGGCCTTCAACACGGAGCCTTGGCTCACACCGAACAGCAAGCTATTATGAGTTTGAATACACCTTTGGTATCTTTCGCCTCTCTTTTGCCGGATTAGACTAATATGTAAATGCGAATATTGTTTAATTGCAATTTTGAAATTTGAACTCGCACCTTTGAAAATTTTACGGACAACACCACGAGTGGCACACGTCGTGTTGCAATATTTCAATTATATGGTAAAACTCGTACAAGAAATAGGAGCTATGATTGTGGGAGATGGGTTTTTTTCCCCATTCAAAATGGTTTTCAAAATTCTATTGCAGTAAATTTCAATAAAACAATATACGTATGTACATAAACTCATCATAGATACCAGGATTAAGATTTTGTACGCCAGAAGCGCGTTTCGTCTGCACAACACTCATCAGTGACGCTCGAATAAAAAAGTTGAAAGGCCATGCAAATAAAGAACGAGTGAAACCAAAGTTGCGCAAGATTTTATCAAACACGGCTAAGGTAATCTATTCCTAGGGTAGAAATAATCAGTGTCGAAAAATTCAAAGCTTTGTTAACAGTTAATTTATGATTTTGACCATATCAATGATAATTCCTCATGTTCAACACAGATTGATTGATTGATTGTTGGTTGCTTAACATCCAGTGTGTTCAACACAGAAGTTCTGACTAAGAACTGGACTGGTGATACCCTCGATGAAGAAACCCCACCAGCAGTGGCATATCGACCCGGTATAGTTGTAATAACATGAACATACCAATTTTACTGCACCAGTAGCGCACTTCGACAATCAAATTTGTACTTGCATGTACAATATGGCGCAGGGGTGCCACATGTGGAGCAGAAACTGCCTTTCTTTCTGGAGCACCTCAGTTTACTCCGGCTATGAAAGGTTAGGCCAAAATATTTGAAAATTAAAAAAACTTATACATACGTTGACAAACTGATAAAACAAGGAACACATTTATGCATATGAGGGAGATATAAATTACTTAATTTCAATTATTTCCTAAATTTTATAACTGCAAATTTTACTGAATTAAACGTTATCCGTATTTTAGGCCAAAACCGAAGTATACTGCCTTCGGTTTTGGCTTAAAATACGGATGACGTTTAATTAATATTTGCAGATTAAATGGTACCAATTTTACTGCACCAGATCTGATGTGCATTTCAACAATGAATCGTCACTGATGGTCGAGGTCAAAATATTTCAAAATGTTTTTATTCATCCAACTATATTTATGTGTCTATATACGATAGGTGCAAATATAAAAGTCTATTTGGGAGAAAAGTGCTCTTTCGTGATAATGGTAGGCGAAGGAGAATGTTTCCATATCTGACAGTGATGGATATCGGACAGTTGATATATTTCCGCGGGAATTCCGGTTATCGCCCCTTTCAATTGCTCTCTTTTTACTGATTCGTCTGTCAACAAATGGCGACAATTGCAAGGACAGTCAGGGTTTGCATCAAATATACACAGTTAAATGTAGTGTAAAAGACCACACAATGTCACGAATTAACAATTCAATTTGTTTTTCAAGAAGAATCATAATTTAGAACGAACCTGAACCTTGAAATTTAGTAAGGCAATTCAAAATTTCCACATGTTATGCATGTAGGACAAATGCAAATTCAAAACAATCATATGTCATTTTATTGATATATTACATCTGAAGTAGATGGTCCATTCACAATACAGTAACATCGTAAGTAAGTAATCGAAAGTCTTCAGCTGTATCAAGGCACTCCAATTATTCACATAGTACTTTGAAATATAATTAGAAGGTCATAACTCATACATCTTCTTCTTCCAAGTTCCAGGTAAGGAACCGAATTAAATAATTGAATGTATTAGGTCCCGCGAAAACCTATACCAGTGTTAGACAACACAGAAAGTTTTCTCTTGGCTATTTACATTTAAAACGTTCTCTCTATATATATTTACAATTTATGAGGGAAAACCAATAGGTGGATCAAAAACTTCCTCGCCAACAGGAAACAAGTCGTAGTTGTAGAAGGGGAAAAATCTGATACAATCAACGTCGATTCGGGCGTCCCACAAGGATCAGTTCTTGGACCCAGTTTGTTCCTTTTCTACATAAATGACATGCCAGAGGGAATCCCATCAAGGTTAAGACTCTTTGCTGATGATACAATCATATATCTCGCAATATCATCGGACACAGACAGCGACCACCTTCAGGAAGATCTGAATAAATTGGTAATTTGGGAAAACAAATGGAAAATGGCATTTCATCCAGATAAATGTAATGTTCTTACCATAACAAGAAAACGTAAGCCTATTATAAAAGAATATGTACTGCATGGCCACACCCTCGAATCTCTAAATTCTGCAAAGTACCTTGGCTGCACCATCAGCTCCGACTTAAAATGGAATGAACACATAAAAACATATGTGTTAAAGCAAACAAGACCATAGGCTTCCTCAAACGTAACTTGAACATCAATAACAACACAATAAAAGAAACTGCATACAAGTCACTTGTAAGACCGACTCTAGAATATGCATGTACAGTCTGGGATCCTTATCAACAAAACAACAAAAACCGACTGGAAATGGTACAGAGGAGAGCAGCCAGATATGTCACTAACAGATATCATAACACATCATCTGTTAGTGACATGCTTAACAAACTAGAATGGAAAACCCTCGAAGACCGTAGGAGAACATCAAGGCTTACAATGATGTATAAACTTGCCAACGGGATGGTGAAAGTTGACACCAGTAATACTCTCATTCCACCAGATAGGCTATCCAGAAACATCAACACAAATGGATATCAAGTACCATCTTGTAGGACCGAAGTGCGGAAGGAATCTTTTTACCCAAGGACGATACAAGACTGGAATGCCCTATCACATACTGCCACCAATACAGGTAGTCTTGAATGCTTCAAGACTTACCTGCATGAGATGAACTAGATCAAGCAAAGATGTTTTTAAATTCACTGTATATATGATGTATAGCACAAATTCAAATCAATTCAATATTTATTTTTTTTTTGTCTAAATTTTAAATGCGCATCCAAAAAGTGGCAAAATAATCAACTTATTGATGGTGGCCGCATATTGGTAGAAGTAGAAGTAAAACTATGTACAGGATGTTACTGTCTAGATTTTAGCAGAGCATGCCTTCAGGGCAGCTCTGAATCCTCCAACTGTGTCTGCTGATGTCGCTGATGTTGGCAGTTGGTTCCAGTCCTTGATGGTCCTTGGGAAGAATGATTGGCCGAAGGCGTCTGTTGTAGCCCTTTCTTAGTAGAAACGGATTTAACCTCTGGTCTGGCTATCGTTTTGCATCAGATATTGGTGTCAATCTATGTCTATTAGATCATGTATTATTTTAAACAGCATGCATAGCCTATTTTGTTTCCTGGGGTCTTCAAGGCTTTCCCATTTTAAAGACTTTATCATGTTTGTTACACAGCCAGGTGTGCGGTCTGTATAGTTGTTGTTTACAAATCTTGCTGCTCTTTTCTGCACTTGTTCCATTGCCTTTATTTTAGTCTGTTTTGTTGGGTCCCATACCGTACATCAACTGATCAACCTTTCACATACTCATAGACCAACTTTAAGTTAATTTTTACCCTGGTTTCATGTCATTCTGGCCCCAAGCTAAGTCTATCTGGCCTAAAACATTCTGGCCCAAGTCATTCCAGCCCCACTGATGTTTATGAAACACCTATTCACCAGTCTAGACAAACACATACCATCAAAAATAGTCAAGTCCAACAACAGACAGATCATGAAAATGCTGAAGAAAAAACAAAACCTGTATAACCAAGCCAAAAGATCAAAATCATGGACAAACTACCGCCATTACCAAAAAACATGCAAAAGAGAAATCAGGAAAACAGAACAAAACTATATTAGGAGACGACCATTTGATATTCTGGGGGGGCAGGAGGATTTGTTTTGGATCGGTTATTTATTTTTGTGGACTAAAAGGACAGATTATTTATTTTCTGCACTGTTGAAGCATGATTTTTCATTTTCATCAAAACAAGGAACTGATTATTTATTTTCACAATTATATTTATAATGTTTGAAACACACAATTTTTAAATTCATATTTGTCGAGCCTTCCACTTTTGTCGAAAAAGCAAGACATAGCGATCCTTCATTCCGTCGGTGTCCACAAATATTCACTCTGTGGTTAAAGTTTTTGGAATTTTAATAACTTTCTTAAACTATTCTGGATTTCTACCAAACTTGGACAGAAGCTTGTTTATGATCATAAGATAGTATCCAGAAGTAAATTTTGTAAAAAAAAAAATCCTGTTTTTCTGTATTTTACTTATAAATGGACTTAGTTTTAATGCCAGGAAACATTACATTCACTCTGTGGTTAAAGATTTTAAAATTTTAATAACTTTCTCAAACTATCCTGGATTTCTACTAAACTTGGACAGAAGCTTGTTTATGATCATAAGAAAGTAGATTTAAAAAAAAAATCCTGTTTTTCTGTATTTTACTTATAAATGAACTTAGTTTTTCTGCCAGGAAACATTACATTCACTCTGTGGTTAAAGTTATAAAATTTTAATAACTTTCTTAAACTATCCTGGATTTGTACCAAACATGGACAGAAGTTTGTTTATGATCAAAAGCTAGTATCTAGAAGGAAATTTTTATTAAAATTTTGTTCTTGTTTATCCATATTTTACTTATAAATGGACTTAGTTTTTCTCCCAGTTAACATTAGATACAGTCTGCAGTTAAATTTTTTAAAACATTTATTAGATTCATAAACTATCCTGGATTTTTACCAAACTTGGACAGAAGCTTCTTACAATAAAATAATTGTATCGAGAGGAATATTTTTATTAAATTTTTTCCTCATCTCATTTTTGTTGGGCCTGCGATTAACAGCAAAAGTAGGCGAGACACTGGGTTCCACAGAACCCTTACAAATTTTTTTATTCTTAAATAAATGATACATGTAAAGTCAAGTCATTATGTACCATTAAATCAGAATTAATCCACCTCCTCTGGAAGTGAATCTTCTGATTCCAAACTGCATATATTGCATACGTACAAGGTATTAAAGTTGGGCTGTAACTAGACTCTTTTAAAAGTAATGCCAAACATATTCGCCGATCGGAGAGGGGCAAACAAATTTCTGAAAAGGGTTTGGGGGCTGCTGAAGGCCCCAAGAAGCTATAGAAAAAAGATGCAAAATTGTGCATTCTGCATGTTTCCCAGACCCTTTCTTAATCTGAAACACAACTTCTGTTTTAATTATTTTTTCGACAATATTTTGGTCTCAAAGCAAAATATATAGATTCAGTGTAAGACTTTTAGTTTTTAGGGACAACATCAAAAGACCAATATGTAGGATAAAGCAAAAATTGTAATTCACATAGTAAAGTATGTGGCTGCTGTTTTTTTATGCCCCCGTTCTATAACTTGAGTTTGCCTCAACCAAATGTTATGAAACTAAAACACAATGCTTATTACCACAAAACACAGATCAAGTTGGAATTTTGGTGGGGTCACTTTAACCGTTCTAGAGTTATGCCCCTTTATAAATGGAAAAAATTGCAAAATATTTAGTTTTCGTTTTCTAACTTAAGTTTGCCTCAACCAAATATAATTAAATTTATACACAATGCTTATTACCACAAAACACAGATCAAGTATGAATTTTGGTGGGGTCACTTTAACCGTTCTAGAGTTATGCCCCTTTATAAATGGAAAAATTGCAAAATTTTTAGTTTTCATTCTCTAACTTAAGTTTGCCTCAACCAAATGTTATGAAACTTATACACAATGCTTATTACCACAAAACACAGATCAAGTTTGAATTTTGGTGGGGTCACTTTAACCGTTCTAGAGTTATGCCCCTTTATAAATTGAAAACAATGCAAAATTTTTAGTTTCCGTTCTCTAACTTAAATTGCCTCAACCAAATGTTATGAAACTTATACACAATGCTTTTTACCACAAAATACAGATCAAGTTGAATTTTGGTGGCATCACTTTAATCATTATCGAGTTATGCCCCTTTAAAAATCGAAAAAATTGCAAAATTTTGAGTTTCCGTTCTGTAACTTAAGTTTGTCCCAACCAAACATTATGAGACCTATACACAATACTTATTACCAGAAAACTCAGATCAAGTACAAATTTGGGTAGCGTCACTTTTAACGTTCTTGAGTTATGTCCCTTAATAATGTTGTATGCAAGCGGGGGCATTATCTGTGTCCATGGGGACACATTCTCCATTTATTTATTTTTTTTGGTCTTTCGTCTTGCAGAAAATCTTTTATACCTGTCAATTATGTGGGGTTTTTTCAAATTAAGTTAAGAGGGGGCTGATTATCATTGATGTAACTACATGTTTGTCAGGTAAGTTTTTATAGCACATTTCAATTACAACTTGATGTAGTTCCTAACTGGGATACAATTTAAAGAATTTTGTAAAATTAGATAAAAAGTCCTTAAATGAAATAAAACTCAAGTTTAAAACAAAATTGCTAAATTACAAATGGAATGCAACACTAAGAGAATAAAGAAGGGCAATCAATGAGCAATCAATTAGCAAAAGACAAACCCGGGAACAGATAAAACACAAAACAACAAACAATAGACAAATAACACTGAAAACTAAAAATAAATGAGAAACATGGATCACGAAAAATGGGGGCTAAGTCAGAGGGTGAACAGAACTTGCTTCTTGCAAGACACTCTTCTTCTTCTTCTTTAAGTTTCTAGCGATCCTTCAATTATTGAAGATTATTCACCGTGTGAAAACAATTTGATATGAAGACAAGCTTTTGTTTTTGAAATTTCCTACATGAGGCATTTGCCTCAATGTAATTACGGCCCTGTAATAAAAGGGAGGTAAATGTTCCTGAGACAATATATCTCAAGTTAAATGAAACCCATTTTCAGACATTTCAAGTACATTTATATTTATACATTGTATTATTAAAAGATTTGGGAAGTTTTTCCTGAAAAAAATATGAAAAAAGATGAATTTTGGAAGAATCTGGTGCCAACTCATACTTTAGAATAGCATTTATAAAATGGCTTAAAAGACCTGCCAAGTTGTTTATTTTCAATACATTGTAAGTCAGGTTATTTTCAAACTACCACAGAACAAACCATTCATTTTTGTTATTATCAAGGCTGAGTTATTTATTTTCAAAATCCTCCTGGCGCCAACGGTTCTTCAACCTTAACAACCACATGCTTGAACAAGTTTCATCCAACCCATACCTTGGGCTACAAATACAGGAAGACCTTAAATAGAACGAACAAATAACAAATACATGTAACAAAGCCAGTTCCATGCTAGGCTTCCTTAGGAGGAACCTACATCACTGCCCTAAGGAATGCTGTAAAACAGCATAGATAGCACTCGTAAGATCAATTACCGGTATGGAGTATAGATCAATTATTTGGGACCCATATACACTAAAAGACATCAATAAACTGGAATCCATATAAAAAAGAGGAGATAGATTTATCATAAAAGACTACAAATCGAGAGAGGAAGGATGTATGACAAAAATGCTATCAGAACTTCAGCTTCCGTCACTACAATCAAGATGTCAACAGCAACGACTGATCTTCTTTTTCAAAGTGGTTGATGGGAAGATACCAGTGCTCCCTCCTGACGACCTGATTAAATTTCATAGACCAAAACAACAAATCAGAGCAACAACCTACAATAAATTTGTATTAACTAAGAACATTATAGACCAACAAGTCCGTAACAACAAACGAGTAGTCAAAGTTCCATCTAGTAAGACCGACCAGTTCAAAAACTCTATTTTTGTGCCCACTGCTGCACTGCAGTAGATTACTGGTCCTCCCTAGTAATAGGTAATTACTATTTCCTGTAATAGAAAATCTTTTATATTATCAAAATCTTCATAAATGTACTGCTTTTGAATTATTGCCTTCCTGTACACTAATTAACCAATAGTTTCCCGTATGCACTTGCAGTGACCTCAACTACGAGACCTCTCGTTATAACTTTGGCCAGCGCAAGTGTGAGGGGGAAACCTTGATGAAAAAATGTAAACAAACGTGCACTGGAAGTGGAAGGTTAAAGTAATAACTGATTCTTAAAGAAAAAAATTTGATACAACAAATCCAGGCGTGGATCCAGCCATTCTGAAAAGGGAAGGTTCCAACACCTGTAACACAATGAACGTTCACATAATTTAAAAAAAAATTGAAAAAATTAACTAAAAAAAGGGGGGTTCCAACCCCTGGAACACCCACCACCCCTATATCTGCCTATGAAATCATTTAACAACTGTTAAGGAAAAGTTTAATTAACAAATGGGAATGCATGTAAAAAAAAAACAAAAACAATATCATGGCTCTACCAATTCTCTTATTTGTCACCTGCTCCAAGTGCTCTGTGTATTGATTGCTTATCAATTTCATGATCCAGTAAACTTTGGCAACAAACTCGAAAGTTAATTAGCTTGCAATCAACAATCACTGATTGAAATACTATTTATTGATAATACGTTATAGATTCGTAAAAATATATAAAAGGTTCATACTGGACTTAGTTTAGTATATATATGCATGCATTGGTTCAATAATTTTGATAACATTAAAATAACAAGAAACTTGTTACATTTGACTGTAATGAGTTGATGAGATGATTATGCAGTACAATATACAATAATAAGTCAACTTGCATTTGACTTTGATCTTAACAGACTTTTCAAATGCAAGTTACTATACAAATCCTTAACTGGTGTAATAACAATTGGTTACACACAAGCTGATGCACAGAAACTGTCTTTTTTTGAAGAAAAAAGTTAAAAAAACTACTCAATTTGGAAATGTTGTTTGATTTGCAGAATACCTTCCATAAAAGAGTTTATACCTGCTGTCATTCATCAATATTGTTTTCTAAAAAGATCCTCCGATCGACAGCGAAATATACCAACGTTTTCATATGCAAATTGCCACTTACCCTGAATCAAATACTTCACAAAACTTTTTTTGTAATTATTCATTATTTTATTTTGGGGTCGGAACAACTTTGGCTGCATTAACTTGGCCCTAATCGACTTTGGGCTGAATCCACTTGGGACAGGATTGGTTTGGGGCTGGAACAACCTGATACCAAGTTATGAGGGTTGACCAAGGTCAAACAGAGTAAATAATGTCCTTAAACATATGCATCTTAATGTTTGAACGGTAGGGAAAAATGCATGAATGTGGAAGTCATCTATAATAAGGCCTAAACAATACCTTTGTTTCCTGCAACCTGGCAGAAAAAATTGAAATGTTAAGAAAAAAAAATGTTTTTCTGTAAAATGTTTTATATAGATTATCAGTATATAGGGAAATGTTCTGGACTTTTAATAGTTGTTGTTTTTTTTTTTAACCAAAAATCTCTAGACTTAAGCGTTGCTTAATCAATGGCCTGCAAAAACATCTGGGGTAAGCATGAAAATTGTATATAAGGAGAAAGGAAACAGAAATATACTGTGTTTTGCCTTATCCCTATAGAGCTTATTGCTTTTAGGGATTTCCCAAAACTCATTACAATATATACATTTTTTTTGTACTTGGTGGAGTCAGATATTTTCTCTTAACTTTAATGGCATACAATTTAAAAAGTTATCTGACAGGTGTATTGCTATTTGGAGTTCAGAGCTGTTTTAGAAACCAGCATTGTCCTCTGAATAAAAATCAGGATTACACACATACTAGTAAACATTAGAAACATTTAAAAATAATTTAAGAAATGATAAAATACTCTAATCTAGATGCATTAAAAATGGAAAATTTTAGCCGAAAAAATAGCCTGATAAAAAATTTTGTAACAAAATTTAGAAGCTAATCCTTCTGCTTACATGCATGTACATTGTACCCATAACTTTGTCTCAGGCATATCTGCTTATTTCAGAAACATAATGTACAAACAGAAATCAATATCATATATAGATATAAGAAGATGTGGTATGAGTGCCAATGAGACAACTCTCCATCCAAGTCACAATTTGTAAAAGTAAACCATTATAGGTCAAAGTACGGCCATCAATGTTTATATTAACTTTTGTAAATTTGGAGCCTTTAAAAAGGTAAGTTATGCTGAACACAAAAATTAGCTACAAACAATGTTAAGAGAATAATAAATTCTCATGAATGTGTTTCATATTTATATTTAGTTTTTTTTTTTCAGGCTGTTGCTCCACATGTGCCAAAAATAAAATTTCCACAAAGAAATAAAGGTATTTACTTGTTTTCTGATAGATATATATATATCAAATCTTGAATTATTGGCAAATGCTCATTTTACTGTAGAAACATCAGTTTTTCGAGGGGTTAAAATTTTGAGTAATTTTGTGTTTTTTTTTCAATTTTTATATCATGGGAAAATAATTTTGGTGCTTTCCAGTATGTGAAATTATATTCTTTGTAAAATTTGTTGTGGATAATTTTTGCGGATAATGTCTATCCACAAAATAAACAAAATTAACCCCAAAGAAATTGATTTTATTCAGACTAAGTTACAAATATCATAAATATAGTGTTCAAAATTAATTTTATGACAGTATTACTTAGCAAAGAGCAAAAACAATAAGGAATATCACTATAAAAAGGGCCCTTTAATGTTTATATAAATGCACTCGATGATTGCCAGCTGAGAAATTGATGCTCTTGAAGACTTTTGGGTTAAAAGATCTATTTTGGCTTGTGGCAGCTGATATGACTAAAAGTTAGGAACTTTATGTTATTTTTAAACTACAGTACAGTCTACAGGTATTTTTTTTACTAAATTGATGTTTTGGTCTTTAGCAGATTTTTCCTTCAAACATGAAGTGCCAGTAGTATCTTCTGTTACACAGACATTATCTCCAGCAGCTGGTAGATCATCTTCACAAGGAGGACATGTGATAGACTTTTCTGATTTACCACTCCGGTATCAAAGAAAACCAATAAGCCAAGAGGAAATGGAATATATTGAGGTAATGCAAATGTTTCAGCTTTGTGAAAGTTCCAATATTTCTGAAAAAAAAAGTTCTAGTCTGATATCATATCAGGGTGCTCAAAAAAGTTTTAGTCTGGTGGCCATGGTGGTCATTGGGATCACCAAGACTACATATCTGGTGGTCCACTTTTAGCTGGACACCAGGACAACCGCTACACTCAAAATTAATGGACCTACCTGGTTTTTGGTGGTCAGGAATGACAGGACCTTCAGTTTTTCAAGAACGCTGTCATATTCAGTAAATTTAAGTAGCATTGTAAATGGAAAATATCTTTTTCTATGATTTTATTAGAAATCACATACCGGTAAATATTACTGTGAAATTACTTTTATTCTTGGGGTACCAATGTTCGTGATTTTTTGTGGATGGCTTTATCCACAAATTTAAGTGTCCAACGAAATATAACAACTGTTGTCCAAATCAAGACATGTAAAGATACCCATGTAGGTTTGACTACATGGATATGGGCATATAATCTAGAGAATACCTCGAATATCAGCAAATGCACTATGAACTATATATATATATAACTTCAGGGAGGATTTTACTCATTTAATATTTAAAAAAACCTAAACTCTACGACTTTTATTCTTTTAATTCTCATGATAAATTAGTTTTGATCCATGAAAGTCAGACTTCCTGTGATGATATGCGACGATGAAGTGTTCATTTTATCTCCTCATAATTCTCATAGGAAAAAAAACAATTTTATATTGGGCTTACTTTACTATTTCACAAGCATTGATTCTACAATTTAAAGTACATGTGTAGCATTTTTTCTGTAACCGTTTTCTTTAATTGACATGTTTATGGCCCAATTAACACCTTTGGGGGTCGTTTATCTGTTGATCAATCGATCTCAGGTTAATTAATGTCATCACTTCTGATTACACATGTGCAACAATTTAATGGTTTACTTTGCAATTCCTTCAATCGAGATAATTTGTGAGCATACGTGAATCAGCAGCTTATATCCGAAAGCAATTATTTTATTAAAAATCTGATGAATGTTGTCAGTAGTGAAAGACAATCAAGTAAGTGAAAATGAACATAAAATTGAGAATGGAAACAGGGAATGTGTCAAAGAGACAGCAACCCAACTAAAGAGCAGAAAACAGACCTTATTTTGCAATGTCCCACAATGATTTAAAACAACATATGATTATTTTCAAGAATCTTCGTTTCAGATGGCTTCAAATTCTTCAATCGATTTGGTTCAGAAAACTAATATCCTCGAATTTAAGAACCTATGAACATGTAACTTTTGCTCAAACCATGAAAATTGATACATGTACCCACAAATAAAAGTATTTTTACAGTAAGCTGTCTTACGATATTATTAATTTTTCATAATACAAAATATGTCTAACAACTTTTCTGATTTTTGTGAACATAAATTATGACGTCCAATCAAAGAAATATTTTTAAAATTTTACTGTACATACTAACTTTCATGGATTTCATTACTGAAATTGAGCATCAAGCACTGAACTGACAAAATAAACCATTTAATATCTGTGATATGACAGGACTTGTTGTGTAACCTGACAACATGCTGTAGCGACGCATAGGGATCAGTCTGTTGTTCAGGCCACTCTTTATGTTAATCTGCCACTTCATGAAAACAACTCAACATAATTCAACTAAACTTGCCAACTTCGACTACATCATTTGGTCTCTGATGGAGAGTTTTCTCATTGTCAATCATCTAACATCTTATTTTTATATTGCATAGATTTAACTACAGAACATGAAGTTGTGCACCAGCTATTTTGATTTTTGATCTGAATGATTTTTGGGGTTTCTCATTTCAAAGCATAGACTTTATAAAAATAAGGAGATGAGGGTATGATTGCCAATGAAACAACTATTCACCAAATTTAAAATAAAGTGGGTGTAAGCAATTATAGGCAACCGTACGGCCTTCAACAATGAGAAAACAAGTGTGTCAAAGTCAGAAGGTCACTAAATTGGCACCTTCCAGGATGGAGCCAGGTTAGTCACTAACTCTATAGACACTAAAATATAGTTCCCAATACTTCCCAAGTATATGTAAATATGCACAAATGAACTAAAAACAAATTGGGTTATATCTCTTAGAGCAGTTTATTCAAGCATGAATGTGCTGGCTAGTTTGGTCTTTCATATTAAGTAAGAGTACTGTAACAATACCAGTATGATTGACAACTGTCACGATCAAAGACACAATAAGACTCAGAAGCTAGTAATATGTATAAAACTTGAAAACTTTTATTTGAATTTTAACAATATTGCATACAATTTTTTAAATTTTTTATTTACAATGGCAGTTTCTACGCATCCAGTATGTTGTTTTGGGTCCATGTTTCAGTCCGACGCATTTTTGGTGAAACCACTCTAGGCAGGCAATGTCCCACAATGATTTAAAACAACATATGATTATTTTCAAGAATCTTCGTTTCAGATGGCTTCAAATTCTTCAATCGATTTGGTTCAGAAAACTAATATCCTCGAATTTAAGAACCTATGAACATGTAACTTTTGCTCAAACCATGAAAATTGATACATGTACCCACAAATAAAAGTATTTTTACAGTAAGCTGTCTTACGATATTATTAATTTTTCATAATACAAAATATGTCTAACAACTTTTCTGATTTTTGTGAACATAAATTATGACGTCCAATCAAAGAAATATTTTTAAAATTTTACTGTACATACTAACTTTCATGGATTTCATTACTGAAATTGAGCATCAAGCACTGAACTGACAAAATAAACCATTTAATATCTGTGATATGACAGGACTTGTTGTGTAACCTGACAACATGCTGTAGCGACGCATAGGGATCAGTCTGTTGTTCAGGCCACTCTTTATGTTAATCTGCCACTTCATGAAAACAACTCAACATAATTCAACTAAACTTGCCAACTTCGACTACATCATTTGGTCTCTGATGGAGAGTTTTCTCATTGTCAATCATCTAACATCTTATTTTTATATTGCATAGATTTAACTACAGAACATGAAGTTGTGCACCAGCTATTTTGATTTTTGATCTGAATGATTTTTGGGGTTTCTCATTTCAAAGCATAGACTTTATAAAAATAAGGAGATGAGGGTATGATTGCCAATGAAACAACTATTCACCAAATTTAAAATAAAGTGGGTGTAAGCAATTATAGGAAACCGTACGGCCTTCAACAATGAGAAAAACCCAAACCGTATAGTTGGCTATAAAAGGCCCCGACATGAAAAATATGAAACAATTCAATTGAGAAAACTAACGGCCTAATTTATAACAAAACAATTAACGAAAAACAAGTACAAAAGACATGAACCAATGACAACCACTGAACTACAGGCTCCTAACTTAGGACAGGCACATAAAGAATGTGGCGGGGTTAAACATGTTTGTGAGCCCTCAACCCTCCCCTAACCTGGGACAGTGGTGTAACAGCACAACATAAGAACAAACTATAAAAATCAGTTGAAAAAGGCTTAACTCATCAGATCGATACTAAGCAGAAAAACATCAAACATAAACACAGACTTTGACCGTTTCAATTACTAGTATATTATTCAGATACAGTAGTGTACACACGTCTTTCTTGGAAGAATCACACATTATTAAAACTATGAATTAAATGCCAACATAGCATTTTTGTACTACTAAAAAAATTAAAAGACATTGTGTGAAAAGCATAAGATTGTTAATTCAAAAACATTTCTAACAATTTCTGAATAAAAAAAAAAATGCCTTGCACAACTGCTTACTGTAAATTCAGAAATTATTGCAAGGTTTTTTATTAATGCCAATAATGAAACAGTATCACAATAATAAAAACTCACATTCTGATATCAAATGCATATATCTGTGAAGCTTTTCCTGAAATCACAATAATTAATCTTGCATTTTTCATTCAATCTTCAAAAATAAAAAATAATGAATGCCACAATAATTTTTTGTAATTACTGTATTTAAAGTTAAGCCACTGTGACAGCCACATATCATACTTTAGATTTTGCTCCAGCTACAGTTCATTAAAAATTGAATTAAATTTTTTCTTTCTTTTTTATTTTGCAGAGAGGAGGACCTGATTGATGTCACTTGCTAAATGGATTGTTACAGATGAATTTTATATTTATTTACATGATATATAAGTAATAGATGAGAGGCATATGTTAGAAGTACGAATGTGAATTTTTCATTAAAAAAAATTAAACCCTCATTTCATTATGATTAATCCCCCCCTACAGAGTAAATGTCAATTTTGTTAGTGCCAATTTTGTTAATTGCTATGTGATGTAGTCTAGTTATAAACCGGTAAGTCATATGTACAGCCTTTTTAATCAGTTTGATATTGAAAACTATCAATACAGAGGAGAGGTGACCAAGAAGAATGGTCCTCTGTAATGTAAGACCAAAAATTTTATACTTATAACGATATTGAGATGTGGTATGATTGTCAATGAAATAACTTTCCATTACAGTTTAAAAGACGAAAATAAAAGCAATAAGAGTGTCTTTAACAATGAAAAAACCCATACCGTATAGGCAGCTATACAAGGTGCCTACATGACAAATGTGAAATAATTTAAATGAGAAAACTAATTGCCAAGCTAGTCATTTCAAATTGAAAAATACACCATCCAGTAGGCAATTCTAAAAAACTGACATGAAAAACCCCAAAAAACTAAAAAAAATCATAATAACTAAAAATAGAATGTGTCCATGTGACACATGGCCCTCACCAATATAATGTTGGCAGGAGTAGTATCAGGGTTTTTTTCTGAGAGAATGGGTTGGGACTAAAGTTCTGCCATGTATAGCCTTTATTTAACCAGTCAATGCACCAACTAAACTCTACATGAACCATCTCCTACAAGGTGCTGTGGATGATATTGGAACACCATGTTTATCATCAAGGAACCAACAATTGAGGTAGTTTTCACATCAAGGGGTATAACTCCAGAATGGCAAAAATTAAAGAAATCAAATTTGAACTGTTCAGTAAACCCTGAAAACATTCCCAAATTTAGAATGGTTTTGTCCATGCCTACTCCAGTTAATATGATCCAGAAACAAAAAAAATGTCTATTTTTGTATTTAATAAGAGGCAGTTAATCTATTTAGTGGTTCCTAAGTTTCAAAATTTAAAAATTAGTGGAGGCCTCAAGTTATACCGTGGAAACCCAAGATGTCGCTATTTTCCGCTTTATCAGGGGCATAATGGTGGAAAGACCAAAACGAAATCAATCAATTTTGAACTATATCTGTGTTAAATGTTTGCTTACAACATTTCAAATTTCAAATGATTTTTGAAAGAGGCTTACTTAAGATATTGTCTGGAAACTAAAACAATTAATTTTTTGGCTATTTTCTGCTTTATCAAGGGGCATAACTCTGAAAGAGAGTGAAATCAGTCATAATTCAAACTAGATTTTTGTTTATTGGTCTCTATCAACATTTCCAAATTTTGAATGATTTGGTGGGGTTTACTGAAGTTATTGTCTGTAAACAATTTGTCTGTTCTTCCTTATCAAGTGCTGTTTCTATGAAAAAGTGAAATCCGCCAAATTTAAAATGGATCGTGTTTAGCGGTTCCTAACAACATTTCCAAATTTTGAAAGATTTTATGGAAATTAACCTATGTTACCAGTATCGTCTGGAAAAAAAAAAAGACTTTGGATTTGAGTTTAATGGTCCCACTATCGAAATTATGAATTATTTGACGGAGGCTTCCTCAAGGTATTGAACCACTAATTTAGGCCCAGGATGGAGCCAGGTTAGTCACTAACTCTATAGACACTAAAATATAGTTCCCAATACTTCCCAAGTATATGTAAATATGCACAAATGAACTAAAAACAAATTGGGTTATATCTCTTAGAGCAGTTTATTCAAGCATGAATGTGCTGGCTAGTTTGGTCTTTCATATTAAGTAAGAGTACTGTAACAATACCAGTATGATTGACAACTGTCACGATCAAAGACACAATAAGACTCAGAAGCTGGGTTTTTGGAAAGTTTGCTATAGCTTGCTATAGCATATACTTTCCTTAGGCGGCACTGGGTATGGTTACATTGAAATGTAATAATAATAAAAAAAAGTTATTGTTACATTGGAGACAATTGCCGGAATGCAGGGTTTGGTAAGGAACCAATTAATTACGAATGTAACAATAATATTTGTGTCTACGGTTACATTGTGTTATTGGTACGTTAATGCACTTCAATGTATACTGGGACTAGTAATATGTATAAAACTTTTGTTTGAATTTTAACAATATTTCATACAATTTTTTTATTTTTTTATTTACAATGGCAGTTTCTACGCATCCAGTATGTTGTTTTGGGTCCATGTTTCAGTCCGACGCATTTTTGGTGAAACCACTCTAGGCAGCCATCACAAACGAGTGATGCAGCAATGTGCACGTCAGTTTTGCAGACGTTACAATTCCACTCTGCAATATCCCTTTTTGAAGTTATAGAAACTTTCAATGTCTTCCATGCTTCAGGTGAAAAACATTTTTCTTAACATCGAACCATAAACTATATTTTTCGCCTTTGGCACTACTAAACTGTAGTAGTATCTCGAAGAACATTAAAACAATACTTAAAACTATTTAAACACTTGTTACGGTGCTTTTTGTCCGCTTTTGCTTTTTTGTCCGATAATTTTGCTTTGTCCGACACTTTTGCTTTTTGTCCGACACTTTTGCTTTTTGTCCGTTGCTTTTTGTCCGTTTTGCTTTTTGTCCGATAATTTTGCTTTTTGTCCGACACTTTTGCTTTTTGTCCGTTGCTTTTGGTCTGTTTTGCTTTTTGTCCGCTGAATTTGCTTTATGTCCGATGTAAAAATGTGTATATTTTTTGCAGGTTTCACTTTGAACGTCGAAACACCATGCTCTTTTTGGAGTTAAATACAGGCCATACTCACTTTATAAATGATTTGTACATGAAATATTCGTTTCTTTCACTAAATATAAGAAGATGTGGTATGAGTGCCAATGAAACAACTCTCCATCTAGTATGATCAATATGTTCTGAATTTACCGCTAACTAACGTTTAAAATGATTCATTGGAAAAGTTTTAGAAGATCGTTATTATGAGCATTTATAACTTTGACATACACTTTAGTTTCGCCTGAGAAGAGCGCAACATAATGCAAAATATAGGTATGCAAGTCCGACGTCATTATCTTTTGGTATATATTTCTTTTATTTCAGATGTGAAGAAGATCCGAATGCTTCAAATTTTGCATACTAAAGCTTTATGTTTCAATAATATAATTTTCAATTGTCCTTGATTTAATTTTCGTTGTTTCGTTTGTGTATAGGCTGATTTCAGTGTGTACATGTCCGACCGGTAGGTTTCAACTAACTGTTTGTCAATGTTCTATTTTTATGGTTCGGTTTTTTTTCTGATGCTTTTTCAGCAATGGGTCAATTACAATTAGCGTATGCAGGGCTTGTTATTTTTACTAGAATATTGAACGGGGTTCATCTAACATTGACCTTATTTTCGTGTGCTATTGGTCGATGCTTATTTTTCATGAGATTTTGGTGGTTTTTTTTAATAATCTCATAGTAGACCAAGTATATTTTCTGAAATGATTGTAATGTGAACATACTATTCGCAAATAGTATGTCTGAAATTTAATACATTTTTTTGGTTTATTTGTTTGTCTTAATGAGTGTGGTATCTTAGATAATAAATACAATAGGTGGACAATATTAGTTGTATTGGATGATTGCAATATACATGATATATAGATGTCTAATTGCATGAACTTTTTTGAGCATATATAAATATGTCAATGTGCATGTTAGTTGATTTATTCAATTATACAGTTGTTGCAAGTTTTAGATATTGCATAGAACGTCTGATAAAACTGCTAGATGCAAAACGCACAGACATAGTGCAATTTCCTACGTTTTATGAGGTAAACAATGCTGAATATCTTTTCGTGCATACATTTTTGCATAAAAATACCTTAAGCAATAATAAATAACTACATATTGAATTACTACATACCATCAAATATTCCATAGAACTCAGAATAAACGCAATGTCATACTAAATAAGTTTTCTCTTACTGTATCGTTCGTATAATATCACTTAATGTGTCATCCTATTTTTTTAAGTTAAAATAAAATATGCAGGAACCTTGGCTTCATATTTTAATGCTTATATTCTTATCGTGCTGACAATTTCAAAAAAGGCAAATGTTTAGAAAATTACAAACTTTTTGTGTTTCTAAATGCTTGTAAGTACTGACTTTGGTATTATTGAATTTTGTATTTCACCAGAAATACTACCACACTTTATTCTCAAATGATCGTTCACAAGGACTAAACTTCAGATTGGTGCTTTTTGTGGTTTTTCGTGAAGATAAGAGTGTCAAACACATAAGTCAAAATTTGAATGAAATTCATATGGGTGGGTATAGACTTTCAGATGCTTATAATAACCAGATTGACAAATCAATCGGATTTTGGCATCATGGTAGAAAGACTGTAATGTTGGAGGAAATTAAGCATAACCTTTATACCTTAAACATAAAAAAAACATAATTTAAGAAAGCAAACCACCAGTTAATATTAAGAATTATCTCTTTCATCTTTACATCTCCACATTAAAGAAACTGTATTACTTATTAACGATGGCTATAACTTACATGTTCATTGCATAAACATATTCTTTAGCCTTAGGGTAACTGGTTTATATCTATTAAGATAACCTCCCTTTATTTTTTCATGAATTTCTGATATAACATTGAGAAGTAAATGAACTTTATTTTTTGAAAAAGCGACGGGCGTATCATGCACTCGTGGCGCAGCTGTTTATTTATTATTGGAAAGATTGACTTCAAATTTGAAACCAAGCAAGATAATAACATATATTTAATAATTTTTTCGAAACAAAATCGAAAAATAATATTTTAAGGATAAAAAAAACTTGACATGACCAACATCGATTAATGTCCTGACCAATATAAAAATGCTAAATACATTTTTGGGAAGTTTGCTATAGCAATATTTTCCTAAGGCGTCGTTCTCAAACTTCCGGTGACAGACTATCGCAAATGTTCTGCTCCAAGATAATGTAGTACTAGTGTTTGATTACTGATTCTAGGAAGATGCTTTTGAAATTTTGAGTCCTTTTGAAAAGATTACAGCTTGAATAAAAAAGGTGAATTTAACTTCATTTTGAAAATGAGTATC